GAGATGAATTATATCACAGCAAAAAATCTCTCTGCACAAAGGATGAGTCATGGGCATGACTGATTGGCTGGTAGTATCTGCCATCAACTCTGGTTTGCTACCTTCATTTATGATTAAAACATAAATGGATTGGACACTTTCTCTTTGATTTTTAATTCAGGGAAACATTCTTAATATTCAGGGGCTTGGTTTCAGCTAGATGATAGTTTAGTAAAGATATATATATAAAATATATGTCTGCCATATACATACGTGGCAGAGACTATGACTCTGCCTCCAAGGATGCCACCTTTGTTAGAAATAGTGGTCATGTGAGGAGCTCCTCTCTTACTTAGAAAGACAAGAATCAAGTTGGCCGGTTTTCTAGTACTTCCTGTGTTCCCTGCTCAAGCTGTGGCTGGTCTATGAGAATTTCTCAAGACATAATTGTAGTCTTGCCTGAGGATGAGAGTTGTGCATCAATGGGGGCCATCACCCAGGGCTGGGAGTGTGTGCAATTATTTCATGACTAGCTGCCCCTGCACCTGCAACTTCACCCACCTGCCTGTTTGCTTAGAAGGCAGACTGTCAGCCAAAAAAGAACGAGCCCTGTGCCACTGTAAACAAAGGAGGATTAGTCGTGCGAACAGAAGTCTGCAATAAGACATGATCCTATGTAAACCAAGCTGGCCACACGACTCTGATCACATCTGTGGCGTTGAGCTTTTCAGTTCCCAGTCTTTTCACTTGCATGCCATAAACTCACATACAACTACACACACTTTACATAGGCTCATGTCAATTTTTTATGCATAAACACTGTCACATGTAATTATGAACATTCACATAGAACTGAATGCATATGGCACACACACAAAACTACACACATAGATTGGCACCTATCACACACATATGCTCATACGTACCCTCATGTAGAAGTATGCACTCATATACATGCACACAAGTAACTACACACACATTCCATAAAACCCTCCTTCTCGACCAGGAACATTACTTTTCCACTTGGAGGTCTGGGTACCATTTGTGATAAAAATGCTGATGGAGGTCACCATCCTGCTTTTGGGTTGCAGAACACTTAGGGGGACGTAGGGCCTCTCAGCATCTCTTGCAGCCCCTTCCCTTTTACTGAGTCCCCAGGAATCCTCAGGCTCAACCAGGCATTCTCATCCTGAGCAGATAGAGTCAAGTTATGGATGGTCCTGAGATCCTTTATTTAGTCTTGTAACCACTTCATCCCAGGGGCTAGCACAGACCCTTATACATAGATGGTCTTTAGGATTTGTTGAAGAAATCCAAGAATTTGTGATTTCCTCCTTAATACTTCTGTCTCATTTTTAAAACTAAAAACATTTCTTTTATTTGGGTAATATCTTGTCTCTTTTCCCTTCCCCGACTTCTAATAGAAGTGCCCAAGGTGATGTGCAGATCGCTTAGAATAAAACTCTCCCTGGGGGGTGGAAAGCCCTATATAACTTCTTAAGTCTCTTGAGGATTTAATCAGAGATGCCCAAACCCTCAGACATAGTCTAGTCCAAGGCTCTCATTGTATAGGTGAATGAACTGGAGCCCAGAGATGTTAAGTTATTTTTCCCAAGTCATCCAGTTAGTTGGTAGCAGAACAGGGACTGGGGACTCCATGGCCTGATTCCTGGACTTGTGCTATCCCACACTTTTCACCTTGCTTAGACTTATGCGATTTTATTCCAGATTATTCCAGGAAATAATTCCTTGATAAGAATGTGAAGAAAACAAGTGATTGAACATGAATTTCTTTACACAGAGCATTACAATAGTCTGGAGGGATTACACTGGTTTGGGCAGAGCTTTGCTGTATTCTAATAAATTTAGCCTATGATATCATATCTGACGTATGTTTAACCTCATGACTTTGGGCACGATGAAAGGCATCCTTGTTGTGCTATTCCTATAAATTTGAATGCTGACTTTCAAATTTTCTTAGTATATGGGACCTCTGAGTACTCCACAGCTGGTTGCATCTGCCTGGCAGATGTTAGATCAATCTCAGGTTCACACTGGTTTTTAGCCTAGCCCTATTTAATAGATACACTATGGCCAATGTTGGTGACTGTCATCCCATGAGAGCAACAAAAGCACTAACTGTCTCGTTAATGTTGAAGAGTGTAGATTTATTTTAGAACGTTGACCTTTATTTAGCCAATGCTATGATTTGTGGTGTTATCATATGTTTCTTGTCACTTCATAAACCAGAGTTTGACCCTTTCTCTTATTTTCTCAGCTACCACATTTGTATGTCTCTAGAGTTGGTTGTTTATTAATTTCTTTTTTGAGCTGCGTTAAGTTCACTCTAGCTATATCCAGATTTGCTTGGAAATGTGTATACATGTGGTGGAACATCCAAGTTCAAGGCATAGCACGACTTTTCCAAACAACATGCGAGAATGCTGTATATTTGTATTTGCATAATCATGTTTATTCTATAAATAACATAATATGCTTCCATGTCTGTATGGTAAAGTGTGTACGATTTGAATACATAGTGTAAAGACTCAAATTTGGCAGCAGCTCATAGCTATTACTCTCAGTTGAACTACTGTTCCCTTCTCCAAAGACTAACATCGTGTTAAATTAAAAAGAGAGATATAAAATATATGATGATAGAGCAAATGCTGATCCTGGTTAAGTTAGGGTGATGGAATTAGGGGTAATTGTCTCTTTTCTCTGTTTTCTACATGTCCCATGATGTAATTTTATTATTATTTTTTACTGAAAAGAATGCATTTATTATTTTAGAAGAAAGGCAAACAAGAAGAAAAACACTAAAGCAACCGCGCTGAGAAACATGTCCGTAAGAAGCCGCAGGGAGGATTATGGCTCTTGCCCTCTGGTGGCATCTTGCTTTCACAAAAGGGCCCACCGACTCATGTGCCTCTGCCTTTTATTGCTCTTCAAGTTTTATCTTTTTTATTTTTCATTTTTGTATGAGCTCTCACATTGAAAGTCTCTTTTTCTCCCTACTTTCCCTCTCTTAACATAATGTCTTCTGTGGTGGTTTTGTGTTATTTGACATAAAATGTCATACTGACTGTCAGCCCTGAAATAAGGAGTTTTATACCTCGGTATGTTTTAATTATGACACGAGGTAATTGAACATTATGATATATCACTTTGTAAAACATTGATCCTGTTTCTTATCTCCTGGTAGAGTGAATCAGCTTCGGTGGATGATTTTTTGTGTCATGAATCAATGAACTTGTAGGTTTATTTTGCTAATGAAGTGTTTCTATCAAATGTCCTTCTTTATACAGGAAATGATTTCTTCTCATAGTTTGTCCTTGTCAGGAAAGGTAATAGTAATAACCTTTGAAAATACAGGTGTAAACTCACCGACAGGAACGGCATCAAATCTAGGACAAATTTTGTACACATGTGTTTATGTGCACCATGTGTGTATGTGTATGTGGGAACATTCACACGCATATACAGCAGCAACTGGTATTTGTAGAACTTCTCTTGGGAATACCACCAAGGAGACCACTTCAAGTATGGAAGATACGGCTTCACAAGACTAAGAAAAATCTTTAGTGCTATCATTTATGAATGCTTCTATTCCAAAGGAATGCCCTCATGGTTGATCTAATGATAACTTTAATTTTTAGGTTGTAAAGTACAGAAATATAAATGGTTTAAACCTTGTGAAAATTTACCCATATACCCTACTTGTACCCTAAATCTTACCTGCCAGCTTATGATGGCAACAAATTTTAGAGACCAGACTCATCATTTTTATTTCCTATTTTCTTTTAGGGAATTCTTTACATTTTATGTAAGCTCTACATGCAATGTGGGGCTTGAACTCATGACCCTGAGGTCAGGAGTCTCATGATGTTCCAACTGAGCCATCAGGTACCCCAATTCTTTACATTTTAAATTACTTTTATTTTTCCTAAATACTGGATTTAGCTGCTGGTTAGAGGAGAAGGAGCTGAGGACATTTTCCTGAAATGATTTCTCTCTAACTACATCTTAGTCTTACTGAAAAGCCGCTTCAGTTTTGGAGCAAATACATACTTTATTGTCTCAAAAAAAAAAAAAAAGAAAAGAAAAGAAAAGAGAGAATGAGAGAGCTATTTTAAAAATGTGTATCTAGGGACACCTGGGTGGCTCAGTCGGTTAAGCGTCTGCCTTCGGCTCGGGTCATGGTCCCAGGGTCCTGGGATCAAGTCCTGTATCAGGCTCCCTGCTCAGTGGGGAGTCTGCTTCTTCTTCTGCCTGCTGCTCTCCCTGCTTGTGCTCTCTCTCTCTCCCCGTCTCTCTCTCTCTGACAAATAAATAAATAAATAAATACACACTTAAAAAAATAGCTCATTTAAAAAAAATGTGTATTTATACCAGGCAAAAAGGAGCAAAAACAGCCTTAAGAGCAGGGTTTAATCTTTTTTTCCCATTTTAGCTAAATATTTCTCTTCTCCAAGCATACTAGGAAATGGTTTGTTCAAGAAACCCTTCCTGGATCCGTATAGACTGGGAAGAGAGAATAAGCAAAAGGCAGAACAGTCAGGACTCTTGGGGTCTTACTAGGGAAACTCTTGGAGCAGTTAGAAGGACCAGGTAGAGATACAATGAGCTGACACCTTCCTCACCCGCTCCCTTGCTCCTCAGAGTGTTTCTGAGAGCTCACATGGCCGAGCAACCTGTGGAAACAGTTTCACTGGAGTCGGGCACCAAGGAGAAACATCGGCCATGTGATCTCTGCGGGCAGCTGAGGGCCAGGCAGAGGAGCTGGGCTTTTGCTCTCTCACTAGTTCTGGGCATTCGTGTTCTCTCTCCCTTCTTTCCCTCCTTCTCTTTCTCTCACACCACACACACACACACACACACACACGCGCGCGCGCGCCAAGGTGTTCAAAGTGCTCATTATATGTACATTCGACTCAGAGACCAAAAATGTAACCAACAACGATTTAAAGCCATACTCTTTGTTAGGTATTATTGACACATGGAAGTAACAAAAGTAGGCATTCAGGAAGAGAAGTAACTTTAATAGATACATAAATTAGAGTTATTTAATTTAGAAAACGTAAACAATGCTGGTGTTTCTGGAAAGTAGACTTGGCATCTCTAGAAAGAGCTACGTGAACTTGATAATGAAGAAATTCCTTACTCTTTCAGGTCTTATGAATTATTGTTATAATTAGTAAGGCTGAATTTTAACACAGAGGACTATAATAAAACATTCTTTGAATATTAAAATAATCCTTCCAGAGCCTATATTAAGCTTTGCAAAGTTTAGGCAAGGTATTGCATTGAAACTCAGCCCAAGATATACACAGTAGTGCGTAATGTGTTGCTGTGAAAGCTTTTTGGATGAAAAAAAAAGAATTTGGGTATTAGAATATTTGATTTACCAGATTTTGGTTCTTCTCCTGCCTGTTTGTCTTGCAAAACATTCAGACTGAGACTTTACTATGATTATCTAATCTTACTCCATTCTTGGGAAGTTTAGCTTCTGTAAATAGTGGGCAAGGAGACCCTCCTGGATTGTTGTGGTGAGTACTTGGCTGTGAATTAAATTAATGTTTAAATCTCGAAGATTTCCAGTAATGTTGAATTTGGCTGGATCATTTGTGGTTATAGTATTTCGAGCCTTTAAAGATCCATGGAAAAATAAATAAATAAAAATACGTGGGTTCTCAAATAGTGATATGCTTTTTTTCCTGATTAGCATTTTGTTATTACCCTCACTGTCTACTTCAAACAAATTTTATGCAGTTTACAATTCTTGGAGCATATGGTTGCTGCCCACAAGCACTTTGTGTTCCTTGGCAGAAAGCCACACGTGACACTAAAGAACGGTTTTCTGGATGAACAGTAGAGAATCTTGCTTTCATCCATTTTTCTACTTGAATTCAACTTTTAAGGTAGGGCTGGGTTACACCTTTTTTTCCTTTTCTCCCTCCTCTCCCCCTTCCTCTCTCCTTTGCCCTCCTGTCCTCCCTTACTTCCTGTTTCTTTGTTCCAGCCTCCTTCTACCCTAGGTCGAGTGATTTATGCTCTCAGCGGTGTTAGAGGTTCTTGTCCAGCAATGGTAATGTAATACTCATGTAGACAACCCCAGGTGTCTCTAGCTTTTGCCTTCTTCTGAGTCCTCACCTATTTTTCAAAACCTTTAGAGTAGGGCCCCATTTATTCTTGGTAGAGAATTCCACAAAGCAGATAACGTGTTGGTTTGTATGCCTCATTACTCATATTGAGACCCTGTGTGGATTTCTGTTTTGGAAAAATAATAGCTTTTAGTTAGCAGTAATTGAGATGAAGGCCGGGTATAATTTTCTGTGAAGTCCAGGGTGGGGGTTTCAAAAAAAGGTGCAGGTGCTTTGAGAATATAGATTAAAGCTGTGACAGCAAGAAGTGGTGGGAGCCCCTCTGGAGAGAGAGCAGTAGATGACAGTGAGGGAACTGGGGACTTGGCAGGGCCAGGTGAATATTCTTTCTTAAGACTCCCATAGCACAGGGGGCAGGGGGTAAGAGCATTGCCTCGTCTCTGGGGACCCTCAATCCCTCCATGCCCTGGCGTGCTTCCCACTTCCAGAACTTTCCGTGCAGGTAGCCACGGAGTGCCTGCCTCACCATGCGGGGTAGCAAAGCAGTGCTCTGAGTTGTGTCCGAGCGGCCGCTGGAGGAGGTGAGCAGTCTACAGCTGCGACTGTTCCCCTTTTCTGTTTACGACCTCTTGCGGCACCTGCGTGTCTGTGTGTTCTGCACACTCACAATCGGCCCAACTGCTTTTCGGTCATTTGATCAACAGGTTGGATTTATTGATCTACCATTCAGTTACTTGTTTTTGCCCAACATTACATGGCCTAAATACTTGCGTTCTGAACCTACTTCTGATTCAGAGAGCATTAATCTACTCTCATCCCAAGCAAGAAATGTTTTTTTATTACCATCTAAATATTTTGCATGAGACAGCTCCAAAAAGGAATGAGGTGTATGTATTTTATACACACACACACACACACACACATATGTATACATATATATATAAAATATACACATGTATATATAGGTGCATAAACTCACATATGTATATATTCACACACATACGTATATATTCAGACATATATACATATATGTATATATATACACACACACCCCCACATGTACGCATATATTATGTATATAATGCTTAAATGGAACCTGGACATCCATTACTTACTTTGGAACTTATTAAAACTATATAGGGAAATAAAAGGAAACATCCCATTTCCTGTATTTCTAAATTGTAGTGGAAGTCTTGAAACTCCAAATCTTACTGTTGATTAAGAAGTTGAAATAAATACCATCTCAATGGAAAACTAATATGAATTTTCTATTTGTATGTTCTGTCGCCATTTGGGAAAATTATACCATCAACCCGCGTTAAACAGAAAAGCTCCAAATCAGTGATAAATTGAGAACAAACAGCACAGGCTGAATGTGTTCTGCGTAAGATTTGAAAGTGTCTTGATTCTAATCAAGTCTCTTCCCTTAGACATCCTTAGCCCTTAATGCCTTTTCAGAAGACAAGCTGTTATGATGGAGATGTAACGTCAGGAAGAAGAGCTTGGGGAGGCACCATGAGGCTTAGTCTACTCCTTCTAGGTTGGCGTCGGCCACTTGGGGCAGCTGGGGCCCCTCTGAGGCCCCTGCTGGCAGCCCCCCTGCTGTTGTGGCCGGTGGGGGTGGGGGCGGCCGCCTGCTGGGCCCACATCCAAGCACCCCAGCTGGCATCTGCTCAGCTGCCGCGGGCGGTGGAGCAGGACCGTTTGCCTCCCTCGCGGGTAGGGAAGCCTCGGCGGGGGACGGCAGGGCCTGACTAGAAGCTTCTGCCTCCGGCTTGTGGGGCGGCTGATCAGCCCGGACTGCTGCAAGGGGACCCCGGTCTTGGGCCTCTGCTCCCGACCCCAGGGCGGGGTTCCCGGGCCTGGGGGGCAGTTGAGCCTCATGGCCTCTTTCGGCTTCGGCCTGAGGAGTTGGGGGAGGCAGGGAACTCTCTGAATGGCACAAAGGGCGCAGAGGGGGTCGTGCCGGCTCCTGGAGGACCGAGTCGCCATCCGCTTGAGGACTGCCGGATTCTGGTTGGATTTCTTTGGCCTGGTCAAGGGTCGACTCTGGCTGATGAATGGCCATGAAGGCTGTGGCCAGATTTTTCACAGCACTGTGAACACTCTCGGCTTCCTCCGCATCAAGCCCCACCCGCTCAGACCCAGCGGACTCGGGCTCCTCGTCGGAGGTGTGCTGACTTCGGTCATCCTTCGGAGGCATTTTTGCCTCTCTAATTTTCGTGTAGAGTTCATTTCTCTCTTCTTGTAAAGCTCGACAGAGGTTCTCCAGCCTCCCGATTTTCATGACGAAGCACTCATATTCTTTAGCTCTCAGTGCTTTCTGTGATTTGAAAACAATAGAAAAAGCAAAAAAGCATAAAACAACAAAGTAAAATTGCCAGGACGCTGTCTGGAGACAAGCAAAACCCTTTGTCCAGGAATCTGTCTACCTGCCTCTGGGGCCTGATCTCAGAGAGGTGGCTGAACAGACACCTGGCCAGGGGCATCACTGCAGTTTCTCCATTAGTGTGTGAGACTCTGGTAGAACTTTAATCGCTGTATCCTTTTCTTTGGGAGAGAAAGACGGCAAAACTTCTCTCTGCTTCAGCCCAAGGCCTCCAATATCTTAAGTTAGATGCATTTTCTGCTTCTAGGACTTAGACGTCTTCCAGTAGCACAATGAATGAGATGGAGGGGGACCTGGCTGTCAGCAGTGGCTCATCTAGTCTATAGATAAACTGCTGGATGGGAATCCAGCAACTGTTTGATTTATGTTGGTGAATAATAAGCTCATCTCTTTGGAACTGGTTGCAATTTGGGATGAATTGTTAGAACAGTAATTATAATGACAGAAACTCCCACACACTAATTCATGATGCTGCTTGCTCAACCTATTCCATTCTCCTCCTTTTCTGTAGAAATGTTGGTGTGTTTGTGCGTGAAATCGTTCCTAATCATCTTACTCCTTGCCTCCACCTTTGTGCTACTTTGTACCCTTTAAGACTTCTTTTTTTCTTTTTTTTTTTTTTTTGCTTGTTCACATGGAGAGACCTTTGCCTGTAAAATCTGCCTTTCAGATTCAGGGCCACGTATCTTTGGGTCAACATCTACAGAGCCTGACATACTACCGTAATTAAATGCCTGTTGGAAGAATTAAACAATACATCCCCATATCTGTCTATAAAGTAGTACATACCCTGGGTGCTCGGGCTGGTGTCTTCTCTCATATGTTCAAATCAACTCACTAATATATTCTGCACCTGCTCTGTGCCAGGCACTGGGGAAATTCAAAGACAAGTAAGACGCTTGTCCTGTCTTTAAGGAATGCAGTCAAGCAGGCATGGAGCTGATTTGAGGACAGCTTTGGACCTGGCAAGTAGGCATGTGACTTAGGGTCACAAAGCTCTTTGTGAGTCTGGACCCAATTCTATTTTTTTGCTCTATTTTTATTATAATTTCATATGTCACATCTCAGAAAAAAAAATCAACTCTTTTTCAAAGATAATAATTTGTACTATTAGGTAATAATTATCTTCTGAGTACAACTATTTGGACTAGATGGGGGAAAATAAGCTGGGGGGAAGTCTTCTTACCTCTTCAATCATGTCCAGCAGAGCTTTGTTACAGTTCTCAAACCGGGCTTTCCACGTGGCTGTGTCCTTCTCTAACTTCTTCATTTTCTTAGTTGTCTACAAAAAGTTGAGTATTTTAATGTTAATTCTGAAGACTTAATATGTCAAAAAAGCTATTAGTTCCATATGTGACGCCAAGAAAAGTCCTTTTGTTACTAGCTGTTGAAGCAAACAGGTCTGATGTCGAGGAATGAAGATTGAGTGGGAGAGTCATATTTATTTCTGAATCATCTAAGTCAGTGGCAAGCAAACTTATTTGCACCAGAGCCAATTCAGGAAGAAGGAAGCTCCTTAGGTCCACCCTGTTTTGTCACTGCATTTTCTTTAGTTTAAAGTAAAAGTAGCTTTATTTAGTCACAAGAATAAGCTTGAAATTTAGATTTTTTACATTATTGAATAGGAGACTATCAGTGAGGAAGCTGGACGGGCTCTTTAGCCATTAAAATGTTGATACTATGTGGGCACACCTGAGAAGTAGCTACACAAAAGCAGCTTTCTATTTTCTCAGTCTTTACATTTTTAAAAAAGTTCTTATTTAAATACTAGTAAGTTATCATACAGTGTAATGTTAGTTTCAGCTATATGATATAGTGATTCAACACTTGCCTACAACACCCGGTGCTCCTGACAGCAAATGCCCTACTTCATCCCCATCACCTATTTCAGCCATCACCCCACGCATCTCTCCTCTGGTAACCATCAGTTTGCTCTCTCTAGTTAAGAGTCTATTTCTTGGTTTGCCTTTCTCTCTCTCTTTTTCCCTTTGCTCATTTGTTTTGTTTCTTACATTCCACGTGTGTGTGAAATCACATGTCTGTGACTGACTTATTTCACTTAGCATAATACTTTTTAGTTCCATCCATGTTGTTGCAAATGGCAGGATTTCATTCTTTTTTATGGCTGAGTAATATTCCATTGTATATATAAATATACCACATCTTCTATATACATTCATCAGTCAATGGATTTGGCTGTTTCCATAATTTGGCTATTGTAGATAATGCTGCTATAAACATCAGGGTGCATGTATCCCTTTGAATTAGTATGTTTCTATTCTTTGGGTAAATACCTAGTAGTGCAATTGCTGGATTGTAGGGTAGTTCTATTTTTAACTTTTTGAGGAAACTCCATACTGTTTTCCACAGTGGCTGCACCAGTTTGCATTCCCACCAATAGTGTGGAGGGTTCCCCTTTCTCCATATTCTTGCCAACATCTGTTGTTTCTTGAGTTGTTAATTTTAGCCATGCTGACTAGTGTGATAATACCTCCTTGTAGTTTTGATTTGTATTTCCTTAATGATGAGTGATATTGAGCACGTTTTCATGTATCTGTTGGCCATTTGCATGTCTTCTTTGCAAAAATGTCGTTTATGTCATCTGCCTATTTTTTAATTGGATTATTCATTTTTTGGGTATTGAGTTTTAAAAGTTCTTTATATATTTTGGATATGAACCCTTTATCAGATATGTCATTTGCAAATATCTTTTCCCATTCCATAGGTTATCTTTTAGTTTTGTTGGCTGTTTCCTTCACTGTGCAGAAGCTTTTTATTTTGATGTAGTCCCAATAGTTTATTTTTACTTTTGTTATCCTTGGCTCAGAAAACATATGTGTGAAGCTGCTACAGCCAGTGTCAAAAAAGTTACTGCCTGTGTTCTCTCCTAGGATTGTTATGGTTTCAGGTCTCACATTTAGATCTTTAATCCATTTTGAATTTATTTTTGTGTATGGTGTAAGAAAGTGGTCTAGTTTCATTCTTTTGTATGTTGCTGTCCGGTTTTCCCAGCACCATTTATTGAAGAGACATTCTTTTTCCCATTGGATATTCTTTCCTGCTTTGTTGAAGATTAATTGACCGTATAATTGTATGTTTATTTCTGGGTTTTCTATTCTGTTCTGTTGATCTATGTGTCTGTTTTTGTGCCAGTACCATATTGCTTTCATTACTACAGCTTTGTAATATGACTTGAACTCTGGAATTGTGATTCCTCCAGCTTTGTTTTTCTTTTTCAAGATTGCTTTGACTATCTGAGGTCTTTTGTGGTTCCATATAAATTTTAGGATTGTTTGTTCTAGCTCTGTGAAAAATGCTGTTGGTATTTTGTTAAGGATTGCTTTAAATGTGTAGGTTTGCTTTGGGTAGTATAGACATTTTAACAATATTTGTTCTTCTGATCCGTGAGCATGGAATGTCTTTCCATTTCTTGTGTCATCTTCAATTTCTTTTTTTTTTTTTTAAAGAATTTATTTATTTATTTGAGAGAGAGAGGAGAGAGCACCGAAGAGAGCACAAGCAGGGGGAGCAGCAGAGGAAGAGGAAGAAGCAGACTCCCCGTTGAGCAGGGAGCCTGATGTGAGGCTCGATCTCAGGACTCTGGGATCATGACCTGAGCCAAAGGCAGAGGCTTAACCGACTGAGCCACCCAGGTGCCCCTGTCATCTTCAATTTTTTTCATCAGTGTTTTATAGTTTCGGAGTACAGGTCTTTTACCTCTTTGGTTAGGTTTATTTCTAGGTATCGTATAGTTTTTGGTGCTTGTAAATGGGATTGTTTTCTTAATTTCTCCTTCTGCTTCTTCATTATTGGTGTATAAAAATGCAACAGATTTCTGTTCCCATTCAGCACTTTGAATGTATCATGCCACTGCCTTCTGTCTTGCCAAGTTTCTGTTGAGAACTCTCCAGCTAGCCTTATGGATTTTCCCTTGTAAGTTAAGGACTTTGTCTTGATCACTATATTTTGCAAACATAATTACAGTATGTTTTGGTGTTGGCCTGCTCTTGTTGATTTTGATGGGAGTTCTCTGTGTCTCTTGGATCTGGGTATCTGTTTCCTTAGGGAAATTTTCAGATTAGGGAAGTTTTCAGCTATTATTTCCTCAGATAAATTTTCTGTTCCCTTTTCTCTCTCTTCTTCTGCTAGGACTCCTACAATACAAATGTTATTACATTTGATGGAGTCACTGAGTTCCCTGAGTTGATTCTCATGTTGCATAATTCTTCTTTCTCTCTTTTGTTCAGCTTCTTTACTTTCCATGACTTTGTCTTCCAGGTCACTAATTTGTTCCTCTGCTTCTCCCAGCCTGCCGTTCATTGCAACAAGCCTGTTTCCAATCTCATTTATTGCATTCTTCATCTCTGATTGATTCTTTTCAAACTTTCATCTCTGTGGTAAGGGTCTCACTGATGTTTTCTATTCTTTTCTCAAGGCCAGTGAGTATTCTTATGACTGTTGCTTTAAGTTCTCCATCAGGCATGTTACTTATATCTGTTTCGCTTGGGTGTCTGGCTGTGGTCTCATCTTATTCTTTCATTTTGGATCAATTTCTCTATCTTCACATTTTGTCTAAGTCTCTGTCTTCTTCTCTGCATTAGAAAGGCCAGTTATGTCTCCTGCTCCTGAAGGTAATGGCCTTATAAAGAGGAGGTCATGTAGTGCCCAGAGCCTGGTACTTCAGGGAAGGTCTCCTGTGTGTGCTGTGGCGGCCGGTGTCCATGCTGCACTGCTTCCTGCAGGTGGCTCTACGTTTATGCTGAGGGGCAGAGGAGGGAAATGGTGCTGGCCAGCTCCTGTGTTCCTGGAGAGGTGTTTCCATGAATGCTCCCCTCAGGGACACACTCTGAAAAGTGGGAATAATCTCCCCACCGTGTGCCCCAGGTGCTCTTCACATCGCCATTTCCACATTGTCTACCCTGGGATTTTTGCCTGCTTCTCTCCAGTCAAGACTGCTGACCTTTAAAACTCCAGGCTTTAAGACCCACTGGTTGCAAGAACTCATAAAATTTAGCCCCTCTCATTTTCTAAGCCAATGACTCTGGGGAAATGTTCTCCTTGTGCATTTCCCTGTGTGCTCCTCTCTCTCTCACCCTTTTCCACGACCACAGCTCCCTCCCCTCCACAGCAGCTGCAATCTGTTTCTCCCCTGAACCACGGTTCTGCACTGCCTACCTTCTTTGATGTGGCCTCTTCTCTCGCTTTAGTTGTAGAGTTCATTCTGTCAGTCTTCAGGTCAATTTTTGGGGTGTTTAGGGTGATTTAATAGCTACGTAGTTGTGTTTGTAGGACAAGGTGAGTCTAGGGTCCTCATACTCCACCACCATCTTTCTGCTCCCTCTGTCATCACATTTGTAGAGTGTGGTGGGATTCATAGAATGTGATTACATGCATTATTCATTCCATTCTTGAAACAGTCCCAAAAGGAAGGTTCTGTTTTCACCTTCACTTTATCACTGGGGAAACTGAGGTTCAGAGAGGTGGAAGAATATTCAGGTGAATTAGCAGAAGAGTGGGACTAGAGTTATTTCATTCCATTTAATGCAACATACACAGAGTGTCTGCTGGTCATCAGTAAGGAGCCAGGTATAGGGGATACAGAAGTTAATAAAATGCAGGCCATCTTTTTTAAACCTGAAACTGTTTGTTAGATCTCTGCTCTGCTTGGATGAAGTGAAGGTCAGGCATGTAATCAGGTGCAGTTTCTCTGGATGAACCACACCTGGGCACTTGCTGGCTCTGTGCCATGCTGTCTGAGGTGGTGTATGCTTGGAGGCCAGAGGCTGGGCCCAGGCTGTCAGCCCCTGGGCTCTATAGAGAAGCTAGGGGAGCTTTGAATGGTTTTTAATTTTGATCATTTCTTAACCAAGTTAGTGGTTTAGAAACTTTTTAAAGTCATCAACCTCTTTAAGAATTTGATGAAATCTATGGAACCACACTCAAAAAAATGCAATATGCACATCAGTTTTTTGTGTGTGTGCTAATTCTCAAGTTGACTTTAAAAGTGTATAAATAAATTCCAGATTAAAAATTCCTGTTCTAATATTTATTCCAATATCAAAACTAATTTTGAAATAAGTAAAAACACTTTTCTGCTCTAATATTTATTCTAATCTTAACACACTATAGTGAAAAAAGATTTTTGAAAAATAGATAGATTCATCTTGGAGTGGGAAAGTAGTAATTTTAACAAGTGTCGGCCTATTTATGTTTGTTCATTGAATTGTGAAATTTATCATATAATTTTAAGAAAAAAATTTTTAAATTTTATTTATTTATTTGAGAGAGTGAGTGAGTATGAGCAGAGGGAGAGGGAGAAGCAGACTCCCTGCTGACCAGGAAGCCTGACGTGGGCCTCGATCCCAGGACTCTGGGATCATGACCTGAGCTGAAGGCAGATGCTTAATTGATTGTGCCACCCAGGCACCCCAAGAAAATGCTTTAAAAGGATTCTTTGTGCACTTAAAAAAGGTTAATGCCAGTGCCTGTTAAGAAACACAATTCTGATGCTAATTTTATTTTGGGAAAATATTGGATTGAATAAAATTTAAACATTATGTCCAATAATAATATTTAGCACCTTATATTTGTAAAAGGGTAGAAGTTTAAAACCCTTTAAAAATACATTAATTTATATTTGAACTTCACAATCTTGTGAAGTAGGCAAGGGAAATGGTATCTTAATGTATAGATGAGAAAAATAAAATTGGAGGGAAGTTAAGTGGATTGCCCAGTGCTACTTGAGGAGTGACAACACACCCAGAATTTGAATTCAGGCTTCCTTCTCATTCAAGGCTCTGCCAATTATAACATACTACATATATTCTCTTCTAAGAAGAATTGTATGAAATGGTTTTTCTACTCTAAAATTCTCCTCTTGCATATTTGTATGAAAGTTGTTTTTTCAATCTTTAAAAATTAGATTTTTCAAAAAATTTAGTATAAACAACATAATGTTAAATTGCCAACTCTTGTCTTTTCTTTTTTTTTTCCCTTTTCTTTCTTTTTTTTTAGCTCTTGATGGACTAGGAAAGGAAAATATTCTTTCTCAGAGTGAAAGTGTATCCTAGCATTTTTGGACTCTTCCTGAGATTAATTTACCAGATACTTACCAATTAAAAAAATACAGTCTAAAATCTCATTTGCATGTATAAGTGTTTCATTACTTCATGAAATGCACTGAAGTATCTTAATGAGAGAAAAATGAACCCAAAGGAGAATTGCCTGTCAAAACAGAAAATGCAGGATTTTGTGGGGGGATAATACTCACTTTATCCATTTCCTGTTTGAAAGTGGCAAACACCTCATTGCTTTTTGTTAGTGTGTTCTGGAACTCTTCAAACCTTCCAGAGTACAGAGTAAGCTGTAAATAGGGGAAAGAGTGGATCTATTTTAGGGCTGCTTTCAGAATGCTTCCAGGACAAAACAACATGTCATTGTTCATTATCTGAAAAGAAAAATGACTTGAGGGAATTCTCAATACAATGTTAGTAATATGTTCAGTTATTTTATTTACTATGAGAACAACCTAAGTCAGTGAGTATGAGTGAAGTACATCTTTAAGGAAAAAATGAAATAATGACATGTCATCACCATTTCATTATATCAAAACTTTTACCAACAAACTATTATTGAGCACTGAATATACGCATTGACTCTATGTACAAAAGCATTTAACACGTGACTACTGTTTTTGAGAGACTTCTGCTCCTGATAGGAAGATAATCTCAAAGACTACTTGATTGTGGGACAGTGAATACAAAGTGCCAACTCCATTAAGGATAGTGCCAGTCAGAGAAGGAAGGGAGCAGGGCAGGTGATCATGTGAGCCATGTTTTTGTGGAGAAGGCGAGCCTTGCACTTGGTCTTGAAGGGAGTGAGAATGTAGACAAATGAAAAGCAGTGGTAGGAAAGGTGGACCAGACATGGGTGGCTGCCATTATACAGCTGTGCCCCACTGTGCCGCCATTTGCATTTTAGTCATGTTGGTTTTGTATGTTTCTGAATACAGTGTTCTAGCTAATAGCAGTTAAATGTCCCTTTTCATCAAAACCAGTTTATTATACCAATTTTCTACAGATGGAAAGAATGAGTCTTGAGGAAGAAATGCCTTTTCTAATATGCATAGAATATCAAACATCATATGGGCTAGCATTGGCAAGTGTGTGGCTCACCATGGGAGTAGTACCTTGTACCTCTATCTACGTCCTTATTCCAAGGGTTGCATTTGGGGTAGGAATAAAGCAGGGCAGGAAAGGAGAGTGTGTTGCTAGTGACAGGAATGCAATAATAACATTTTGCTTTTGAAAATGATTTTAGAATAGCATGCTTTGAGTGAATGGAGATTTAATATGGATGATACACGTTAGTAAAGCCTGCATTTTCTTTTTTTTATTTTTTTAAGATTTTATTTATTTATTTGACAGAGAGAGACAGCGAGAGAGGGAACACAAGCAGGGGGAGTGGAAGAGGGAGAAGCAGGCTTCCCGCGGAGCAGGGAGCCCGATGAGGGGCTCGATCCCAGGACCCCGGGATCATGACCTGAGCCGAAGGCAGACGCCTAACAACTGAGCCACCCAGGCGCCCCAAGCCTGCATTTTCAAATGAGTATTTGGTACTGTTGAATGCCTGGAGCAGCTCCAACTCCTCAAATGGGCATTGAATGACTAGCTGGTGGTACCTGTGACACTCATTTTGAAAGCAGAAAAAAAACTACTGACTGGAAACCAGTAGATTGGAGAGTTCTCAGTCTTGGGGGTGAGAGGTAGAGAGAGTATGGGACTCAACCCTAGAACCCAGAAAATCTGCTTATCTAGAATGGCTTATTCTCAAATGTTTTAGAATAGCAGAGATTTTTACCACAGTAAACAAGAACAACGAAATGATAACATAAAATCTTTCCACAGGATAGATTTTCCAAAGAGAAGTCAAACAATGGCTGGCCATCATCTTGAAATCACACCTTAGCTTTGTGAATATGTGACAGGGCAACTCTGGTGGCCTAAAATTTGTTTCTCGTGATTCCTTGGCACACAGATTAAAGAAGATTGAGTAAAGGAGCATCAGGGAAGTCATGGCCAGGAGGGTACCCCAGGGTTTTACACACAGAGACGCACACACGCACACACACAGCACATAAGACAATCCTTACTCATTAACTCATTATGTGCAACACACTCTTGACCTGTTCTATTTAATTCTGTTTCTTTTTTTTTTTTTTTTCCAAAGTACTGGCTGGGATCCACTGAATTGATTTCAGGGCCCATGAGTAGGTCAAGCTCCTTAATCCGAGCATAAGCTTCTATGGGACTGGCTACCTGTACTGCACATGATCTAGCAGTCTAGGGTAGGAACAGCTACTCCGGGCTGATCCTCTTCACCTTTTATTACAAAATCTGTTCATTTGCAGTCCTGGTCAGGTCTCTGTTAAGCCTCTTTTTCTGACTTTCTCTCCTGTCTTTTCCACACTTCTCAGTAATTGCTGCAGAGTTACAGGAGGGTGACAGATACTCCGGTCTCCTGAGCAAGTCCTCCCAAACCTGCTCTTGCGGCCCTGGAGCCCCAGGAGACCCACAGGAGGAGCCCGACTGGGTGCATGCGCCATCCACCTCCAGGGCACAACCTTGTCAGCATCAGCGGGGGCAACCGCACCCAGCTTGCTCAGCTTCTGCCCTTTCTTTGGGCAAAATGCTCTTTTGGGTGTATACGTTGGGCAGATTTTGTTTCCTTTCCTCATGTTTTCTTGTGGCATGGAGAAGGCAGACACACCCAGAGTGCCAGGAAGCGGTGTCTCATTTCATTACCACTTCTCCTGGCCTTTTTCTAGTGACCGTTTTTTTTCTTCCCTCAACTTTTTTTCTTTCTTTTTAATTAGGGTAAATACATGTAATGTAAGATTTACCATCTCAACTATTTTAAGTGCACAGTTCAGTGTTGTTAACTCTGTTCACATGGTTGTGTAACCAATCTCCAGAACTGTTTCAGCTTACAAAACTGAAACTTGACACCCAGGAAACAGTTAAGTCCCCATTTCCCTTCTAGAACTGTTTTTTGTACTCAGCTTTTCTTCCTATTTGACCTCTTTGTTGTAGGTGGCAAAATCTGGGTGGATTACACTTTCCTCAGGTAACCAACTCTAACACTCTACCTACACTAACTAAAAGTGGGCACTGCCTGTTTACTTTATGCCAGTTTGCTTGGTAGTACCTCCCCTCTCACTATTACGCTGACATGATGCATGTTTGGTTTCATGTGTCATATTCCTGCTCTTGTTTTGGTATTTCAGAGAACCATGGAAGGGATATCCAGAGGTCATCCACAGTACTCCTGCCAGAGGCAGAAATAGAAACAAACTATTCTTAGGGTCAGTAATAGCAACAATTGCCCCAACATTTTCAGTTTTAAGTGGGTGAGCGACACATACGTTCTTTTAATGGAGCACTGAATTTTAATTACAAACTTTCATAGCATTTAGGAAACAGAAGCGTGTCCAGGAATTGTCTTAGCAAACTTGTGAGATTTGGTTTGGGAACAAGTCCAATTATAGTAGTAGTCGCAGAGTAATCTCCTCTCATCCTCTCCACAGAAGGTGAGGACTTCTGGGTTTAAAGGCTATGATTGCTGTCTTTAACAATTTACTCCATGATCTTTCCCCTCGGGCTGTATCTTTGTGGCCGCGTGGCTGGGTTGTTTGTACTGCTGACTTTCCCCATCTACCATCTTCATCCGTATCGATCCAATGAACACTCTATTTGTAGTGACAATTGTATGCCATTGATCATGTCTGACATTTACTCTGTTGCCTTGGTTTGTATAATTGAGAGCCAGACATCTCTTCCCTAAGTGAAAACCATGCCGCACACTGGCAAGCTGTTGTCTTACGGCTGAAAGTGACTTCGTCTAGTAAAACACAATCTGTCCTTGTTATTTCCCTTGCTCAGACCGTAGAAACGGGGACTTAAGACCTCTGTCTCCTACCACTCCACTCCTTCAAACAAACTGTAAAATCAAAGGAAGCGTTCAAGGGCTAAGCCCACTGACCTGTGGCAGATTTTGTTTCTCCAGGTTTAAAGGTTTTAAAAATATAATGTTGCTACTTTTGAAGAGGAGCTTTAAACATGATTACACATAGGGTTTGGGGGCCTCTATATTCTTCTTGAAGATTAAGTTATTATTGGAGTTTTGAAAAGTGCCTTGAAGACAAGAGACAGACAAGGGACGGTCCTTGCAGAGAGCCCCACATGATGGAAAACAAAGCAGTAGAGGAGAAGGCTAGGTTAACCCAGCTTCGGGCCCCATGGCTTCAACTCTGGACGTTCTCTGCATTCAAGAACAGAGCTGGACAGGGTCTGGAGATCATCTGTTCCAGCGGTTCTTCAACCTTTTTGCAACTAAAGACTCCTTTTGTCTCATACATCCCTACGTAGATCCTCACCTATGAAATAATAGTTGTATTAGCTCACACACTAATTGTTAGCATTTTTATTAATATTATTATCACTAGATTGTGAATTTGATTGGGTAGGGATTTTTGATTCTCTTCTTGATTAGTGTATCTCCTACACCTAGAACCTTGCCTAGCACTGAGTGGGTGCTCAATAAATATTGGTTGAATTAATTATGCTTCTTATGGGCCAGGCATGGAGCTAAGTGCTTTGCATGATAACTTGAAAACAAACTGCATATATTACATATTCATTAACTCATTTTCCTTTTATAAATTTAACCAAACACGTGAATAATTGCCATGCATAGCTGCTGAGGGAGAACTGATATAATGTCAAAAGCAACTATATTTTAGATCGTAGCTGCTGCCTTGTATGCTGTTATGTTTTGGAAATACTGAAAAGTGATGAGCCTCCCAGAGGTCAGAGAACTCCAGCTCGGGATCACTGATGCATTTTACAGACAAAGATATTTAGGTGTAGGGAGGTTCAGATGGATTGCACAGGGTCAGACAAATTCTGAGCAGAAGAGCCAGGACTCTGACCTTGGTCTCTGGACTCAGTCCAGTATTGAGGGATGAACGAGGAACATGGGCAAGTCTAAAATTCCTGGTAGATGCTTTTTCGAATTTAAGGGGGTATTGGTGGGATATTGGATCACACCTTTATGTTTTATTCCACAGGTCTTTAAAGGCCTAGATTCTGATGCCAGCTGAAGACATGACTCTCTAGCCCAGAGTCCAAGGTATTAATATACCCTTCTCAAGTTCATTATCACCACTTAGTATAGAGGAGTAGACATTGCTTGTCACAAACGATGTGAACAATGAATAGCTTCCAATATTGTCTATTGTATCCCTCAAGGCTCTGTGCTGCGAATGGGGCAGAGATGGGGCCAGCAGCCCTGTCCTGATTCTCTGGACTGTCTCCAAGACTGTGAGGTCACACCTCCTCTCCTCCCGCCCGCCTCTGGTTAGAGAGCGACCACTGCCTACCACCTACCTCACAACCATGATGTGGTGGCTCTGTGATGACCTAGAGGATGATCTTGAGTTATAACTCTAGAGTTTAATCTTTTAACTCTGGATCCTTTAGTTTTATTAACAGTAAGAAACATTATGCTTCAAACTCCTATGTAATGAGTATTTAAAAATGATTTCGATAGGTTATTTTATATTACTGAGGGAAAACAATTATCACTGCATTCGGTTCACACATTGGAAAAGTCTGCTTTAGGAAATTTAGATATGGAAATGTTATCTGTATTTTTGTCTGCAGTGATAATGATTTGTGATTTTAAGTTTCTTATTTTTCTTATCTGTCTCTTTAAAAATGAACAAGTATTCATTGAACTTGTTCATTCATGTAGTGAACAAGTTTTTTGGTTTTGTTTTTTATTCTGAATAAACATATAGCAGTCCGCACATAAACATTTACAAGTGAATTACCCAAATCTGAAATTACCTCTGCCCAGCTTGGAAGGCTTGTGATTTCCTCACCTTCTGTGAGTTTATTTGCTCTCTGTGACTTACAGTCCCTGTAGCACTGGGACTCCCAGCATGGGAGCTAGCGCCTCTCTACAGCTCAGCCCTGGGATGCTCATCCGGAACACCACAGGGAACGTTTGCCGGAAGGAGCAGAGCCCCAAGGGCACGGGAAAGATGGATACAGTCATCTGTTGCTTGAGCCTTTATTCTTGAGTCTAAAATATGGATTCTTGCGGTCTCCTCAGAACACACATATGACATCACAAAGCCAAATCAAAATTGTTCCCTCCTTGTCTGCTGTTTCTAGTCATTAACCACCGACAAGGCTGACCTCTGACAGCATGAAAACTTTGGCGCTGGCTTTAGTTTTGTAATTTCCTCATGTTATAAATAATATCAGACAAGCAAGGATATTCTAGATGGTGGAAGCAGCGAGGAGAGCACACCCCATGCATTGTTGCCCCCCCCACCCCCTGCCCCAACTTCACCTGAGCCTGCAGGACTGTCTCTTGTTCCTTCAGCACTTTGGCCTGAAGTTTCCACTCTGCTGCCTGGTTCAGCAACTGCGAGGAGAGAGAATGCATGGAAAGACTGTCAAATTGCCCTTTACATCACCATGTGGCAATAATTTGTGTGTAAGACTTAATGACTTGCTAACTAACCCTCTTAAGTAATTTTTTGGGAACTTTGCAAAGTATCTAGGAAAGCTAAGGAAACAGCTGAACAGTTGGATTCACCACTAAAAGTTTGTGGTTCTAATCGATAAAAAAGAGAAAAAATAATCTGCAACTCAAGCATGAATCACATAAAATTTAACCTCCCACCAAACTCTGGAACCTTTTCTACCAGTCCTGCTCAACCATCATTCAGCATCTGCTTGAACATCTCCAGAACACCCCCACCTGGATCATTGTTGTGAGCAGCTGTTCCTTTATAGTAACTCAAAGTTATTCTCCTAGACCACGGTTCTCCACCATCGCATGCATCAGAATCTGCTAGGGAGCATGTTAAAATGCAGATCCCTCTCAAAGAATGTAAACTAGGAAGTACAGAGTGTGATTCAAGTCTATAGTGAGAGCAAATCCCCAAGACAGCTTGGATGTTGGTGTTCCATGGATTACATTTTGAGAAACACTGGGTTAGAAATTTGACCTATTATTCCAAATCTTTTTTTTTTTTTTTAAAGATTTTATTTATTTATTTGAGAGAGAGAGAGTGAGAGAGCACATGAGAGGGGAGAGGGTCAGAGGGAGAAGCAGACTCCCTGCTGAGCAGGGAGCCTGACGCGGGACTCGATCCCGGGACTCCAGGATCATGACCTGAGCTGAAGGCAGTTGCTCAACCAACTGAGCCACCCAGGCGCCCTATTATTCCAAATCTTATAGAAGATTTACACAATAAGTCTTATCCCTCTTCCACGAGGCAGCTTTTCAAATACAACTAAGGCCCTCATATCAAAGACAGTCAGAACTGAGAGCTGATAGGTTAAATTGAAAACGTTGTTTCTAGGCATAAAAATCACGCAACCGTATGTAAGACATGTTATTTTTGGGGCACCTGGGTGGCTCAGTCAGTTAAGTACCCGACTTTTGATTTTGGCTCAGATCATGATCTCAGGGTTGTGAGATGGAGCCCTGAGTTGGGCTCTGCACTCAGCAGGGAGTCTGCTTCCTCTTTCTCCCTCTGCCCCTCCCTCTGCTTGTGCTCTCTCTCCCCAATAAATAAATAAATAAATAAATAAATAAATAAATAAATAAATAAAATCTTTATAAAAATAGTAAAATGTTATTTTAATTTAAGATGCATGTTTATTTATTGGCTTTGATAGAGGACTGTGATCTTTGTTTTGGGCATGGGTCTTCTGATTGGAATTCAGAGGAGCTTTTTGTTATTTTGTTCTGTTTTTATAAAGATTATGTCCATAATGTGCCACGTAAGATTTATAATCCTTTTTTTTTAACTTTTTAAAATAATAGTACTAGAACCTGCAGACCTAAAGATATTTGCGAAGAAGCTTGATTGGATAATTCTCTGGAGTTGTAGAGCTTTCTCCCAGTCTTTTACAGCTACTCCCATCTAACTTGACAATTGGTTTATGCTGTTTGCCTACATTTAGTCTTTCAAAGCATTAAGCATAGTTTTCATAGAAACAGCTCTTTCTTTTCACACTTACATTTCATCAGTTTCCGTGTCATTCTGGTGGTTTTCATAATACAGAAGCAAAGCTGATTCTTGGTCAGTGCCATCTTACTTAACTTGGGAAACCATGTATAGACACTCGAGTGGCTGTCTAGCCACAGGATTTAACAGGCTGTGGGCATCTTTAGTGTGTTTTCAGAGAGAATGGTGGACATCATGGATTAATCTGGCTAGTCAATTAGGTGGCCATCAGCTTAAGAAGTAATCAGCCTATCTTGAAGATTTATATTTTCTTTTTCTTTGCTCCTGTTTTTAAAAATGTCCCCTTTTTGTAATCAGAACAAAAGACAATAAAGTCATCATTTAAAAAAACTTGGAGGCATCTTTTTTCATATTCAAGTTTATCTTTTTCTCGTGGCTCAACCTCTCTATTTGTAAAGTGGGTTATGTCTGTTCCTCTATGCCTCCCAGCGAGCAGTGAAGGTTCATTGTTACAGGAGTGCAGTCAACCCATCCCATGGAGGGCTGAGGCAGCTGTGGAGTACAAGACCTGTGGGCTCCCCTCTGGCCATCTGAGCCCCTGCTCCACTGAGCAGGCTGAGGAGCCCAGTGGTGATGGGTGGTTCCCTGACCAAGTGGGAGGAAGGTGGCTGTCTGTTCTGCTTGGGATGAGGGAACCCTCCAGCTCTGACTTGATATTTCACCACTTTCAATAAGAAGCATCACAGCTGGAACCCGGGTAGGTGGCCGGCTTTGAAGGACTGAGGGGGCTACTTTTTTGGGCTCTGACTCAAATCTGCTGCTTTGCTAAACAAGGGTAGGAAAATAGGGCAGCACACGAGTTTCTTGCTAAGGCTGGGTCACCTCAGAACTGCCCCTCGTCTCTTTCAAATGAAGCTCTGCCTGGTTATTCTGTCATGTCTGATGTTATATATCAAAGGTACTGCTATCCTGAAGGGAGCATAGTTTGCTTAAGAGGATAATTGTGCCAACGGTGGAGTATCCGTTTTCTTGGATTCTGAATAATAATTAAATGCTTTATTTCTTATTTTGAGAGCTAGGTTGTAGATGGATTTAACAACTTAATCTTTTCTTTTTTAAAATATTTTATTTATTTGAGTGAGAGTGAGAGCAAGAGAGATCACAGAGGGAGAGGGAGAAGCAGACTCTCTGCTGAGCAGGGAGTCTGATGCGGGACTCGATCCCAGGACCCTGGGATCATTCCCTGAATGGAAAGCAGACACTTGGCTGACTGAGCCACCCAGGCGCCCCAACTTAATCTTTTTTATTAAGAGCCCGTGGACTTCTTATCTGAGATTATCCAATGTCCATCAGGTTATGTTCTCCAAAATTTGTCCTTTTGTTGCCATGTTTGGAAACCGAAGTTATGATTAAATTACTATTCTAACAAATTGAAATGATTCTAGTCTGATTTTAGGTAATTGCAGAGTTCGTGATCAATTGTCAAATGGCCAAATTTGGATGATTGGTCCCCTGGTTGAGTTTTAAATCTCTCCCCAGCAACAGACGCACACTTTGACTCATGCCTCTGAAACCCACCTCTGAGTGTGATGTACAATCACAGAGCTTAGGCTTTGGAGACAGACACACTGGAGATGTGATGTGGTGGTAGTGGAGCCAACACATCTTGGTCACTAAGCCATGTGGGGACCTTAAACAAGTCACAGGTCTTCTATAAGCCTCAGTACTCGCATATGGAGAATGGCCCTACAGCTGTTTCGGAATGTTTGGGGTTAATGAGATGTCATTAAGAGCCACCACTCAGTTTCTTAAAACCCAAACTCAGAAATCATCTCTGACTCTTCCCTTTCCTCACTGTCACCATCTTAAGTTCAGAGCACTGACTGTTGGTTTTGCCTGAAAAGGTAACTTCTGTCCATGTCCAGCTCCCCTGGTCCACTGCCACGTCCCCAACCCAAGCCACCATCATGCCTCCCCCAGACTGCAGCAGTAGCCTCCTTGTCCCTCTTCAGTTCATTTTCCACCCAGGAGCCAAATTCATCTGTTACAGATGCCAGGCAGATCATGTCGCTTCCTTCGCTAAAACTACCAGGACTTTCTCAGTATCTTTAGGATAAAATCCAAACTACTTTCCAAGCCTACAAAGCTATGCAATTTGGCCCCTGGTCACCCCGTCTACAGTAGCCCCCTCCTTCTGCCCCGTTTCAGTTCCTCCTTATTTCCCTAATAGCACTGATTATTATCTGAAATTTTCCTTCTTTGTTTGCTTGCTTATTGTCTGTCTTTTCTTAGTTAGATTCTAGTCTCTGTGCTGGGACATGGCCTTCTTGGTCTTGCTCACTGCTATCCCCCAGCAACTAGGATGCTGCTTGGCATAAGACAGGTGTTTGAAAAAGGTCTGTTGAATGGATGTGTGACTATTTTATGTCAAAAACCATGTAGGTATAGTGCCTTCTATGGGCTGGCCAATGTGGTTCTCTAGGGAAGCTCAGGATCCCTCCATCAGTTTAGTGTTCTGTGATTCTGACCAAAAGCAACTTTCTCAGAGGTTCTCTGAGCCCCAGGCAGACCAGACAAGCACACTGATAAGTACATATTCCTTCTCGCGTTTGTGTCGCTCCTCGGCTTCCTTCATCATTTCTTGGGCCTGTTCCAGTTTTGCGTCTACCAGCTTCTGTTGCAGTTCTCTGTGTTTAAATATTTTGTCCAGATGCTAAGGGAAAAGAAATGGCACATATCAAGCTTGACTTATTATTGGTGCTGAGAAATGTAAGATAAAAAAGTAATATCAACACACATGTTCTCCAGGTTTTGAGATTTAAAGAGAAGCGCAGCAGGGGGAATAAATGCTGGCATCACTTACGACTTTGTATAAAAGTCATAAATTGGTGAAGTCCCCTGCATTTGGCAGTTTACAAAGTAGTGGCTGCAAAAGGTGGAGGTGCCAGAGTTCAGTACTGTTAGCTCCAGAAGCTCCCAACTTTGTGGTCTAAACTTAGTAACTACCAGATATGATGCAACTTATTATGCTGGGTGGCAGACTGATGTATATTGCAAGGGCTACAGCACCATCACTCAGTATTTTGGCGATTTCTATGAGTCTAAAACTGCTTTTAATCATATTCATACAATTTATCATAGGGAATTCTCTTCCACATTCTTGTCTCAAGGGTTGTGAGGCAGCTCTGGGGGACCAACCTGTGGCCCAGGGTCTGGGACTCAAGGGGGAACACCCCCTACTTCAACTCTGTAGCTCTGGTGGGCAAGACAAAGGCCAAGGGTCACTGATGAATTGATATGCAAATGTGCTCCTGCCTCCTCTACATCTTTTGACCTTTCAACTAGCTTAGTGAAGAGAAGCTTTGAATTCTACTTCAGCGTAGAGAATTCCTTGGTCCTTAGGTGGCCCCATCGGCAAGAGGACCTATGGGATTCTAGCCTTGGGGCTTATCTAGAAGCAATCTCAAGAATGTACAACTGGTCTACCAGGCCATTCTTATCTGGTCTCTCTCTGAAGAGTATGGACATTTTTTTTTTTTTTTAAGCTTCTTCCCTTTTGCTTTTGCCTGAACCTCCACTCTGGAGTAGGATTGATCTTGGTGACAAGATAAAATGATACCATGGCATTTTGGCTTACTGTGAGGGGTGTCTTGATTTACCTAACTGCTGCTTCCGTGTGCTATTGGCTCAGTTTTTCTCTTGATAAAATCTTAGCATGTTGCCAACAGAGCCACTCTGATTATGTTCTGTGACACTTAAGGCAGACATTTAAATTTGGGTGGGATGGGGTAAATTATGATATATAAAAACCCTGAGAGGGCTTTTGGAGTCTTAAAAATATATTAAATATTAAGATACAATTTTGGAATTATAAAAGATCCTCACAGTGTCCCTAATGTAAAATATTAAAAGCAAAACTCTTTTGGCTTTTGTGACTATGGGTAAGTGATTTAATCTCAGCCTCTGCTTCCCACCCATATAATGTGGATATGGTATTATCTAATGCATAAGACTGTCGAAGCAATGAAATGACATATTGTATGTAAAGTATAGTACTCAGCACCTTTCCTGGCATAAACTCAGCACTGAATAAATAATACCATTAATATTATAATTATTATATTATTAATACTATTATTGGTTTGCGGGGCATATAGAACACAGATGGTTCATTTAGTTGACATGATGATTCTTAAGAGGGAGTCTATGAGATATTTCCTAGCTCTGTAGAAAGTGTTTTTAAAAAGCTGAGAAATACTATTTTCAAGGATAACTGTGCTCATGGCCTACTACTTCCTATTTATTGCCTTTGCTTTGCAATGATTCCAGTTTCAAAGAAATCCCATATGGCTTTCAGCCAGGTCTTTTGCAATACCACCTGTTTTTATTTTGGCTAATAAAAGAAATCCAATCCTAAATATTAATCAATTGAGAGGGCTGGCCATAACTTTCTTATTAACCAAGTCCCCCACCTTCACAGCCCAGATCTGGATCTATATATAGTGCCCCTAAGTTGTTTGATGTGGTTCTCACCTCCTCTCTAAGCTCATACTGATCAATGATGCTTTTCAGTTTCTCTGCAAGCTCTGTATTCTCCTGACACAGCTTCATATTTCGCTCACTCTGTTGTTCAATCTGGGCCTGGATATCCGTCAGAGTGGTCTGGAAATGACTTGTGATATCCTTCCTTTTCTCTTCTTCCTCTCGTGCCCGCTGAAGGGTTTCCTCCTGTGTATAAAAAGCAAAGTCTCTTGTTAGGCTGGTTTACGTGCAACTCAGGGTTAGGTCAATGAAAGGAGATCAATGTGCAGGGTTAAGTAGGATATTTTTTTCTCAGTTCTCTGGCGCTAACCTTGCTCGGCCCCAAAATAAATGTGTGAGCAAAAGTTTCAGTTGTAAATACACAGTTACTCAGAGCAGGTGCAATGAAGGCCTTGAAATTGATAGCTGGTGATGAATAGGCTTGTTTTAAAGATGACGGGTCGTCTCCGGCTGAGTGCATACACTACCACTTTCTAACAAACACGCAGTAACAGGGTTTTGATCTCTTGGCTGTGGCCTGGAAAAAATGCCACTCAGCTTTACTGATGGATGAGACAGATCCTGTGTTTCCTTGGTTTGGTAGAGAAAGAAGAATAATAGATCTTATATTCCTCTATTAAAAAAAAACTATGGCATGTTAACCACGTAATTGTATTACCCAAGTTTAGTAAATATAAGTGATCATAATATAAACTTTTTCTTAGTAAGAAGAACTTTCATCAACAAGCTTGAAAAGGAAACGAAGATAGCTATAGATCAATGATAGCAATTCAAGAATGTAAAAAGAAATCTTAGAAAATTTGCTGTATATTTTAGTTCTGAAAGAACAATCAGCCCACATGTCACACAGGGTAATTGAAATGTTCAATATAAAGTTTGAATCTGAAAGCAATTTTAAGTTCCAAATTTTCTTTAACTCTGAAATGAAACATCTAATTTCTCCCTCTTCCACTTTGTTAACATTCAAGAATTGGAAATTAACTTTTATATCATTTCTGTTCTCTTTTCTCCTAAATCAAAACACTCCCTTCATTGCTAACTACCAACAATGTGCCCAAATTTCCCCCATATCTATATTGAGAATTATTTGCTTTGTGATGATTCCTCTCATTCATTTAGAATCAAAGGGTTTAATCTTGCTATATCATACCAAAGATAGAGACACTGCTGAAAAATGACATAGACATTTTAGGATGCCTTTCAGTTCTGATTAATTATTATTATGAAAGCTTGCTTCATGCTTGGCAAGTAAAATTATACTTCATTTAGTTGCCTCCTGTGATCAAATTATGTAACAGGGTTTTTAAAAAGAAATAATGATTTAAATAGAAGTAATTGTGCAAATCCTTATTATGATAGTAGAATAATGTGATCAAAATAAAAACTGATGCTAAGAATTATGCTCTGAAAATACATTAATTTATCATTAGGTATCCTCTTTCCTCTACAATATTAACATATTCTCCTACTCCAATAAAACTCCTGCTATCTGAATCATAATTAAGTCATAAAACCATTTCTTAGGGGTATTGTAGGAAATAGCGACACTTCCTAATCTGAAGACATTAACTGAGATGTTATTTCCCTGATCTTTGTATGCTAACACTCACTTTATATATATTTCACTAAGCATGATTATAACCATCTGCTAAGAGTCACTGAATATACATATGATAGTGATTGTCTCCTTGCTGCTTCAGCTTAGCTTAGAAGTCAACAGGTTCCTAGCTGTAGAACTATGGACCATGATCTGAATGCCATTTGCATTTATAACTATTCCATCCATGAATGAATGAGTAAATGAAAGAACCATCCCAGGATAGTCAGCAGGTTTGAACTTGTCACTGGCAACTGGCTACAGAAAGAAGGTGTAGGTGTCAGGATGGTTTAAACACAGGTCAAACCATCATAGTGCTGAATCCTGGCCCACAAAGTAGCATTTTACACTTCACAGTACGCTGTTTCTCAACGAGAGAAAAAGACATCTAGCAAAGTCTTATAACATTTGATTCTATTGGTAAAGAACTTGGAATCATTTGGATGATGTCAGAGAAAAAAATTTCCTTATCAAGCACATTATTCAAAATGGAAATTAATAATGCAAATAAGATTGAATGGCAAAGTCTGAAATAACTAAGAAAATGGGCTGTGCAAGCAGCACTGTGCATCTTAGAACTGGTGCTGTGCCTGGCCCACGATTCATAAATATTCAGTAAATGTTTATTCAGTGAATCAATAAATTATTAATTTACATACAGACATGAGTAACATGGACTAGGTGAGTCTTATAGTCCTTTCCATGTGAAAATTCTGTGATATTCTGATAACAAATCTTACTTATTCATTTACTAAAATCATATTCCCTGAAACACTTACCCATCTCTTACTGGCAAGTTCTTTTTCAGTATAGTTTGAAGTTCACATTTATTGCTTCAAATATATGAGTATTTTGTTGAAATCAACCCATGTCTCAGACCTTCACTGGTCTTTTTCTAAATTGTCCTAAATTGTGAGCTTTTGTGGGTTTTTTTTTTTTTGACTCACTGAAGAATCAATTTTAATAAAGAATAGTAATAGTTAAGTTTTTTTTTTTTTTTGGTGGAAGAGCCTGGCACTCATTCTTTTTCTATATCTTCCCAAGCTCCTAGCACATGGATTTTAGATGCAGATATACTTAGGTTGTTTTACTAATACCACTCATACCACTTTGAACCCTTCTACGGATAATAAGTATAAGGTGTGGACAAAATGCAAGAAACAACTACTTAAAAACACTGGAGAGGGGCGCCTGGGTGGCTCAGTCATTAAGCGTCTGCCTTCAGCTCAGGTCATGATCCTGGCGTCCTGAGATCGAGCCCCGCATCGGGCTCCCTGCTCGGCGGGAAGCCTGCTTCTCCCTCTCCCACTCCCCCTGCTTGTGGTCTCTCTCTCTGTCAAATAAATAAATAAAATCTTTAAAAAAAACCACAAAAAACACTGGAGAACTGGAGATAGAATCAAGCAAATTCTAGAGGGAAGTTGACACCTGTAAAAAGGGAATGGTATACTGTAAGTTTCTCTCTCTCTCTTTTTTTCCAGCTTTTAGCTTGAATGAAGACTGAAATTATCAGCTGCATGGGTTGGGTAAAACTCTCATAGAAAACCTACCTACCATTTTTCTGGTGTGAAGAATGAAGGGTTCTGGGCAGCTATAGCTCCTGGAAGATGAGGGGAGATTCCCAAAAGAGAGAGAGAGAGAAAGAGCCCTAAATTCTGTGGATAAATTCTGCCCAAATCTTTGGCTGACCCTGAACCACACAAGTGCAGGGCAGGCTCAAAGCAGCCTAACTGAGAAAAAAGAAATGAACTGAGTTTGAGCTGCTGCCCAAGAGAGGGGATTTGCAATTTGACTCTAATCAAGTTAAATGCCTTCTTAAAAAGAATGATAAAAACAACATTCTCAAGGAGTATAGTAGAATCCATATGCTCCACAACACAACAGCTGCAAAATCCAGGATACAGTCTACAGTGACTTGATGTATGAAGAATTAAGAAAATGTGACCCATTCTCATAAGGAAAGATAATCAGAGGAGGCCTATTCCATATTGACCCAGATGTGGAATTAGCAAATGAGAATTTAAGATAGGTATTATAAGTATGCTTAATGATTATAAAGGAAAGTATTATCTTAATGAATGAAAAGATAGGAAATCTCAAGAGAGAAAAAAAAATCTATAAGAAAGAACCAAATGGAAATTCTGGAGTTAAAGTAACAAAATATGAAATTTACAGATCACTGGGTGGACTTAGAGCAGAATGGAGATGACAGAGAAAAGAATCAGTGAATGTGAAGCTAAACCAATATAAATGATCTAATCTGAAGATAGAAGAAAAAAGATTGGTGAAGAACATATGAGAGACCGAAGGACCTATGGGACAGTAGCAAAAGGTCTAACAGGGGTGTCTGGGTGGCTCAGTCGCTTAAGTCCCCAGGGTCCTGGGATCAAGCCCCGAGCTTAGGGCTCCCTGCTAAGTGGGGAGTCTGCTTCTCCCTCCGCCCCCCCCCCGCTTGTTCTCTCTCTGAATAAATAAATGAATAAATAAAATCTTAAGAAAAAAAGGCCTAACACACATGAAGTTAGAATCTTAGAAGGAAAGGAGAGAGAATGAGACATAAAAAATACTTGAAGAAAAATGGTTGAAACTTTACCAAAATTGGTGAAAGACATAAATTACAGATACAAGAAACTCAGCCAATCCCAAATAGGATAAGTATGAAGAAAACTGCAGCTAAATATAAAGAAGTCAAAATTCTGAAAACCAAAGATCAATAGAAAAACCTTGAAAGTAGCCAGAGTTAAATGGCATATTGCATACTGGGGGACAACAATTCAAATTATTGTTGATTTTCATCAGAAATTGTGGAAGTTAGATTACAGAATGCAGAACCTATAAAAGGCTGAGAGAGAGAGAAAAAAATAACCCTTGCCAACCCAGAATTTTATATCCAATGACTATAGCCTTCAAAATTAAAAGCAAAATAAAGACATTTTAATGATTAAAAAAAAAGAAATAAGAGAATTAATTGCCAGCAGACTAGTATAAGAAATACTAAAGGGAGTTCTTCAAGCTGAAGGGAATGACACCAGACAGAAAGTTGAAGGTTCAGGAGGAATAAAAAGTGTCAGAAATGGTAAATATCTGGGTAAATAAAGAAGACAGTTTTTGCCTTTAATTTTTAAAGAAATGTATAGGATCATTTAAAGTAAAAATTATAACATTGCCTCATGGGCTTTATAAATGTATGTAAATGTAATACATATAACAATTATAGTTTGAAGGGAGGGGTCAGTAAATGGACCTATTTAGGTTGCAATGTTTCTACACATTACATAAAGTGAGACGGTATTAACTCCAGGTAGACTGGAAAGTTAAGAATGTTTAAGTAATCACAGCACAACCACTGAAAATATAAAGAAGTATAACCAAGAGATAAATTAGAATGGAATTGTTAAAATATTCAAATAATCCAAAGGAAAGTGGGAAAAGAACAGAGGATCAGAAAACAGAGATGGCAAATAGTGAATAAATAATAAAATAGTAGAAGCATATCCAACCACACTGATAATTACACTGTATGTTAATGGACTAGTACTCTAACAGATAGATATCATAAGAATGAAAATAAGTGAGGTCTAACTATATATTGTCTACAAGAGGCTCACTTTAAATATAAAGGCCCAGGTTTGGAAATAAGGATGGAAAGAGACATGCCATGCAAACAATAAGAATAAGAAAACTGGAGGGGCTTTATTGATATCAGATAATGTAGACATCAAGTAAAGATTATTACCAAAGGACATTTCATAGTGATAACACAGTTTATCAAGGAGACATAACAATCACGAATGTGTATACCTGTCAAATTAATACTTCAAAATACACAAAGCAAACATCTACATAATTAAAAGAAGTAGACCGTTCCCCAATTATACTAGATTTTAAATTATACTAGGGGATTTCCCCAACAATTGACAGAACAACTGGACAAAAATTCAGTAAAAACCTAAATGATCTAGGGCTAATTGTTGCGTATGCAAAATTATACCTAACGTTTGAAGAACACACCTTCTTTCCAAGTGTGTATAGCATGTTTGTCAAGATAGACCATGTATGATGGGCTATAAAAATTAAGCAACACTTCTAAATAATCCATGGGTTAAAGAAAAACTGAGGAGGAACCCGGAAAAATGTTTTGAATTTGAAGCCTGATTTTGATAATATATGCATGACCTTGGACAACTGATTTGGATTGCTGAGTCTCAGTTTATTCAGCAATAAAATGGAGCTATTAACCCCTGCAAGGTTGTTGTGAAGATTAAATAACATGTTATTTAGCGCATTTAGCACAAGTCCTGGCACAATAATGATACTTAACTTCATTGTCCACATTGAGGCCCTGTGGCTGTATTGATAGGGTCTCCTGCCACTTCCATCATTCTTCCTTTGGATGCTATCCAAAGAGCACAGGCTACATCATCCCATTCTTTATTTTATTTATTTCTTTATTTATTTTAGGGGGGGAGGGGCAGGGGGAGAGAGAGAATCTTTTTTTAATTTTTTAATTTATTTTAATTTATTTTTATTTTTTAAATTTTTTGTTTTTTTTAAGATTTTATTTATTTGCGAGAAAGACAATGAGAGACAGAGAGCATGAGAGGGAGGAGGGTCAGAGGGAGAAGCAGACTCCCCGCTGAGCAGGGAGCCTGATGCGGGACTCGATCCCTGGACTCCAGGATCATGACCCGAGCCGAAGGCAGCCACCCAACCAACTGAGCCACCCAGGCGCCCGAGAATCTTTTTTTAAAAGATTTTATTTATTTATTTAATAGAGAGAGACAGTGAGAGAGGGAACACAAGCAGGCAGAGTGGGAGAGGGAGAAGCAGGCTTCCCGCCGAGCAGGGAGCCCGATGAGGGGCTCGATCCCAGGACCCTGGGATCATGACCTGACCCGAAGGCAGACGCTTAACAACTGAGCCACCCAGGCACCCCGAGAGAGAGAATCTTAAGTAGGCTTCATGCCCAGCCTGCAGCCCCACACAGGGCTGGATCTCATGACCCTGAGATCACCACCAGAGCCAAAATTCAGAATTAACTGACTGAGCCACCCAGGCGTTCCATCCCATTCTTTAAACATCTTTGTTGATAATCTTTCCACTATATCGGATTTAGTTTTTATCTCCTTACAATATATCACTACTTATGGAAACACACAGTGCTGTTTACTTGAGTATGTATGTTGAGTTGAGAATACTGCTCCCATCCCCAGGCCCCCATTTAACCGGCATTTCTGATTGTCACTAGTGCAATGATGGAAGACATGCCAGAAGCCCTTCTCCTACAACTTGTGATCTGAGAGTTATAGTTCATCCTGCTGGCCTTCCATTTCCCAGATATCTGAAACCAGTCCGGAATATGAAGAGCCATGATTCTCTTCCAGCTTTCTTCCCAAGTCTGTTGTGCAAACTCAGCAGTGATCTTAATCTCTCTGCTTCTTAAAGGATCTCCTTTTAAACATATGTAATAATAACTATCTCACAGAAATATTGGTGTCTAATTAATTATTGTTTGTCAAAAGCTTTAAGATCTTCAGCTGGAAAGGGGATTGTGGACGCCTCAGTATTCTCTTGGAGAGCCTGCATCTTGCTTCATTGAATGGAGCTAGTGTCTGTGTGTAATCAAATTAGGCATACTGCTATAGGCTTATGCTATAATTAATGAAACCCATGCAGACTGAATGGAGTGATCAGTCTATTATTTTTAGATTGAATGATTAAGTCTGAAGAGCTTCAGTGTTTTTTCAAGCAGCTTCTTTTTCGGCTGACTATTGACATTTTGGTTCTCAATCTTGCTGTTAGCTTTGTGTCCATTTTTCTCGTGTCCTGCAGATTTCATTATAATACAAAAACTGTTGAATTTTTACAAATTCGTATTTTAAAGAGTAGAACTGAGTCTTATCTTGAAAAAGAAAACAAACTCAAGGTAATAAAAAAGCAAGGGGGATGCCACACAATTTATTGGGAGCCTGCTCTGTGTCAGGTACCATGGAGCACTCTACATATATGACCTCATTTAATTTCTCCCTGGCCACATGGTGAAGTTGGTGTAATCCCCATTTTAGGGATGAGGAAACAGGCTTGGGGAATTAAAATAATTTACTGGAGGTCAGAAACTCACGCTCTTTCCATGAGTGGCAGAAGCCTGTGTCTATGCAGCATGCCAGAAAGTGTGTTATTCAGAGTGGTGGTGATACATACCTTCAGTGTCTTGTTGTGTCTCTGCAACTCTCGGCATAGACTCTCCAGTTTGCTTCGAGCAAGGATAGCTCTGCTGTGTTCACTTTGTAACTGGTCCTTTTCTTTTTGAATTTGTACCTGTTTCTTTTGTAAGAGCTTTAACTTCTTTTGCTCAGTGCGATGTTCGTCCAGCTAGACACGAGAGGTGTAAACATAAATAAAATGGCAGGAATTGCTTTTGAGTTGCTAGAAAAGCAGCAAAAGAGGAAATACCTAAAGATCACTCTGTGGTTGTTGGAATCATTTTTTGCTATTGTCACCGCCCCTCTGCAATCAAATAAACTTCACAAATAGGACTTTGCGATACTTGTAGATATGGCTTTTAGAGCATATCATTTATAGGTTTTTCCTTATCATTATAATGATCCTGTCTTACTCTGATCTTCTTTTTGGTAGTCTAGAAATCATTTTCTTTCTCTTGAATCTCTCTAGTGATACTGGTCAATAGAGAAGGGCATGTCTTGGAATCTGTAGGCTGTCAGAATTCACGATAATGCCTTGCAATGGTGCAAGGGTCAATGGTGTGTCTGCTTGGTGTATATTTTGTGCTCACAATTCTTTCTCAAAACAATCTTATAGCAACTATTCTTTTAAAATTAGGAAAGCATAAAACAACCTCCTGGTAAATGGAGGATGAAGTTTGTGGTTTGTGAAACAGGGACAGAAGAGAGAAAGGACCTCTTGACTACCTACCATTGGTGATTTTCCACCAGAGCTTCAGAGGTAGCTGCTGCACAATTCAGCAGTGTGAATGGCAAGTATCCGTAACGTGCCCTGCCCTCTGACCACCCCCAGCCTCCATGCTTATAGGCCAATAAATCATTAAGAGAGAGTATATTTGGATTTTGAATGATCTATTATCTTTTTCTGAAATTTAGATATTGTTATTATTGTTATTGCCATTATGATTTAGACTTTATCTTTTGAAGATTAAATCATATGTCAGGGTTTCTCAACCTTAGCACTTAGAATATTGGGCCACATAATTTCTTGCTGTGGGGGGCTATCTTGGGCATCATAGGCTGTTTAGCCTACCTACTGGATGTAGGTCCCTGACCTACTGGATGCCAGGATCACCTCCCACAATCGTAACATCCATAATATCTCCAGACATACATCGACTATTGGCCCTGATGAGGGAGCACTGCCCCATGTGGATCTACCTGAGTGCCAGGAGGAAGATACTCTACATGTGTTTCATAAGTTGGAAGTTGCTTGCTTATCAACGATGTAATGTTCTAGTTTTACTGCAAAGTCATATACGTTTCACATTTAGCTAGGTCTATCTTGCTTTGCTCTAAATAAAAGCCCTTAACTTTCTGACAATTTTTTTAAGAGCATGGCTAATTTTATTCAAATACTTCAGGCTTGTGAATACATATATGGTTTCTTAATGAATGAAAACATATTGCAACTGAGTCAACTTCAGTCAGATACTTCCTGGCTTAGTGATTTAACGATGCACTTAGACACCATGGCACTTCTATACTATTGTGACAGGCATATTGGATTTTTATCTGCTCTTTTTCTTGCTCTCTCTTTTTTATTATTAAGTTAAAAAAGTAAAATTAATGCCAATTACTAAATCAGAATAGTATTAGTGATTTGTTGTAACTACATTAAAACTGAGGAAACTTAGAAAAACTATTTCTTCCAGGTCATGTGGTATCTTTATTAATAAATGTATCCTTATTTGTTAATGAAAACAATAGTAGGTAATATTACAGGATTCAGAATCTGCAAGGGTGAGTTAGCTAGAGTGGCAGTTTGATTCACAGCTTTGAATTTGATGATTTATTCTATGGTAATACTTACACGTCGGACACCTTCTATATTAATGTCCAAATCAGTGAGCAATGAAATAGGTTTTAGTCCCCAGGTAAAAGATTGAAATTATTCATAATTTTTCCTTTCTGAAAAGGAAATGTAACGGGTTTTTAGCCAATTTTCTCCTATTCATTTTTTATAGAATGATCTTTTGGGTTTTAAAGTTTATTATAGGACATGATATAAATGCCAAAGTATAGTAAGTAAGGCTTGAGTTGAGTAGGCTCTCCGGAAAGATAACCTCTGTCGGGTGACTCCTGACTGGGAGGGTGAGTAGGTGGAGGGATTTCCTAGGGTGAACAGCTGTGGCCCAGGAAGAAAATCTCAGACAGACGGGAGAAGTGATGCTTTTCTGGTTTGCTGCTATGGGCTGCAGCACCCCACATGGCTTTCCGGACGAGGCTGGAATGCTGCCCAGTCCAGCCAAGTATGGAGCATGGCACTAGAAACGAAACATGAATGGCTTTGGTAGAAGGAGGTAAATCGAAGGGATAACAATGTGGAAAATACCGAAGAGAACAAGGATGGACATGTCAGTGAGAATGGGGGCCTTACTTTTGGGAAAAATATTTTTGAAACCTACTTATTTTATGGCGTTAAAATTGCTCACGACGGTTAATAGCTGATGTTAAGCAAGCTATGATAAAAACAAGTTGATACACTGATACTCGCTTTATAAATTTCTACCATTCTTTTAGAAAGTGCTATGACCATTTAAAAAAACCCCTAAACAAACAAAAGGCATTCATACTGTTTGATTCAGTAATCCCAATTTTCGATTGGGATCATAGATCATAAAAGGAAGGAGAAGGAACAGATCTAATGCATGACGATGTTCAGTGCAGCAGTATTTGGTAAAGCAAACAGTGGACGGAATCTAATGTCCCCATATTAGAGACCCCATAAAGTCCCCATATCTAGCCTCTTTCTTTGTTGTGCTGTTTTTCCTCAGTTTTTCTGTTTCTTTTTCCTTTCAAAAAATTCTGCATTTCCTGGAAAATGACATAACTATTACAAAATATAATTATAAAGACTCTAAACTACATGGGCAAATGTCTGTCGTATGAGCCAACAGAACTGGATACCAAATTATATATGTACCTTTATGGAAGTAATTGTTATAAAAAGTATCTCTGCATATATAGCAGAATGAATGGGAGTGAAGACGGATAAATCAAAGTTTGTGTTTTAGGTTATGGGATTAGAGATGTGTTTGCTTGTGTCTGCAGCATTTCTCATATCATTGTGATGTGGGGTTTATGTGATTAAAAAACAATTAAAAAGTATTGGCAGAGTTAAACAACCAGCCAGTGACTCAGGGTTTCAGGGTCCCTCTGGATCTATTGCGGGACAGTTCAGCCTAAGAAGATGCGGCAATGTGACAGGAAGAAAGGAACGAACGGGGACCACAGGACGAGAGTTAGAGAGAAAAAGGAAGAAAACAAGTCACTTGTTAAACTCCATCAGTAGGGATAAGATGAGGGCTTTGTGCACCTGAAGCTCGTTCAGTTTTGGAGGCCCTCTTTTAAAAACAAAACCCACAAAAAACCCCAAAATTAAGAAAAGAGAATTGCGTCCAGGGCCTCAGAGGGGCCCATGCCAGTGAGAGGCTCTGAATGAAACTTCGTTAGTGGCAACGTAAATCTGCCTTCAACCCGCCGCCTGGAGGAAGCGTTTTGCTGTGTGAACTTCGTGTCATACTCCTGTCACTGCTTGTCCAAAAGAAATAAGTGAGTGAAAACATATTTTTTAAAGAAAGCAAGCAGAGGGACGCCTGGGTGGCTTAGTCTGCCTTTGGCTCAGGTCATGATCCCAGGGTCCTGGGATCAAGTCCTGCATCCGGCTCCCTGCTCAGCCTGCTTCTCCCTCTGTATGCCGCTTCCCCTGCTTGTGTTTCTCTCTCTGACAAATAAATAAATAAAATCTGAAAAAAAAAAAAAAAAAAGGAAGAAGATGGGAAGGAGAAGCACGTTGGCTAGCCTCACATCAGAGGGTGTCACATCCCAGCAGCGGGTCGCACACCTCGGGGAGTAGTGGCCCAGACCTCAGATGGCACTCCTGTAGCAGAGAGGCTGGCCTCACTGAACCCTCCTCTTTTTCCCAGCTGACCCATTGTGGGAGTACTGGTGGGGAGGCAGTGCCCTTCACGGATTCTCTGATGTCTCTGAGTGGCTTCCCTGCCTCCCACTGGCCTTATCCAGAGGGATCCTGCCTGGCGAGGACCTAGAACTAGGCACAAAGCAATCCACATCAAACACCACCACAGTGGGGGGTGGGGAGAAGAATGTAGATCAAAGAGAAACAAAGGAATGGTTGAATCAATGAATGAATGAATGAACAAATAGAGTTTTCAAGACCAAATGAGAAGGTGTCACAAGCTGAGGGTAGGATAAACTCATCCAACTGCCTTCCTGAGGGGGCCCCTCAAAACACCTAGGCATAAGAACTGAATGAAAGTTTGCCTTTAGGTCGAGTATATTTCTGTTTTGTTACAAACCTAAGAAGAACTTTAAAATATCCACAATTTTCAATGATCTCTAATTCTCTCTTCCATTCCCCAAATTATACATATAACTGAAGGCAGAATAGACTCCAACTCTATCCTCTTTCTTTGTTGTGCTGTTTTTCCTCAGTTTTTCTGTTTCTTTTTCCTTTCAAAAAATTCTGCTTTTATGGATTCTCGCTTTGGCTTGTGTGAAGTAACCAGCTATGGTCTCTAATGAGGTACATGAAAAACGAATGGCCTTTTCTCAGCTCTAACCAGAGCCTGAATCTTTCGGACACAAAAAGCTAATCAGAGATCTTACCAATTCAGCATACTTCTTGAATAAAAAATCAAGTTTTTCTTCAGGTGTTTGCAACTTGTTCAGATTTTGCATTAGCAGGTTGGCTTCTTTTCCTTAAAAAAAAACAAAAACAAAGACCATAAAGACATTTAGAAAAATGTTTTAAATCTTTTGAAAATACTCAAAAGAATAAAAAATGCTGACTTTATATATCACCCCTTCCCCGCATTGATTAATTTAAAAGAAAAGAAGCAGAGCAGCCAGTCAAAACTTCTGACGCCCACCAAACTGCCAACATTGACGCATGCGGTTCTAGAATTCCAGCCCAAAGCACAGAAATTTGACAGTTCAGTTTGCCATTTTTGGGTTTTGGTTTTGTTCTCCTAGTATCTTTTTTCTCTTTTTGGGGGGAACCAACTGTCTTGTTTCTGTGCATGAATGCATTCCATGAAGTTTGGGTGGGAATATTCTGCTCATATTTCCTACCTAGCAGAGAATAAAATCAACATAGAAGGAAAACCAAGCCAAGACACAGAGGGCCTTCCCCACAGGCCTTTTTGTATCTCTGTGACAATGGGTTCAGCCTTCCTGGCCCTTCCTTCTTCCCACCCAGGCCTTAATCTTTGTTGGCAGTCTCCTTTTCTGACCTCACTTGGAGTTTATGCTACATTTTAAGACTCATCTGTTCATGATTATTTGATAGTGAATCTCAGATTCTTCTCTTTCCTCATTGTTCTTCCTTTTGTCTTCTTCAGCTCAGCCTCCCCGTTTGCCTTTTTGTGGGCCTGGAAATCTTGTTTTCAAGTAGCCATTGGGCTGAGTGTTGGTGGGGACGAGAGGGACCCTGGGGCCTGCATGTACCACTGATGATATCTTTTCAAAGAGTCTGATCAAGGTGGAACAGAGTGACAGCCACTCTGTCTAATTAGAATAGGAAGGTCAAGCCACACAGTAGAGGCCACGTTTCCTGATGTAAATCTATGTAAGAATATTAACAACTTTGACAACCTTTCCCCAAGAACAGGCATTTCCTTTTTGCCAGAATATTTGCTTTTATCCTGGGGAGGCAGATAAATCACGGAATTAGGCTTACCATATGAAATATATGACATGGGACATGCTTATACTAAAAAAATTTTTGCATTGTTTACTGAAGTTCAAATTCCCCTTGGCATCCTGCATTTTTATTTGCTAAATCTGGTAACTCCAATGCCATCAAAGAATTTTAGGTCTAGAAGGACTTTAAAGAGCATCCAGACAACTGGTTAATTTTATAGATTAAAAATCTAAGGCCCAGTGAAGGCCAAAGTTACATAATTCGTACTGGCAAAGCCAAGGCTTGGATCCAAGGTTTGTCTACTTGCTCTAAATCACTTCATTCCCATGTGGAATTTGGATGCCAGGAAACCCAGAGAAATAAAAGGAAACTTTTTCTTAAAAAACATGACCTCATTCCTAACAGCTGGTTTTGTCCATCTCTGCCCAGTGAGTCAGTTCGGATTAGAGACACAGCCTACGATGGGGAGAAGGTGGGTGTGAGAAGTGCCCGCCAGCTCTCCAATTATGGCCTGTGGCTTATCGTGCTGCCCCACCTCTCCTGTGTCTGTGCTCAGAGCTATTTCTCGAGCAACAGGGAAGGATGTGACATCCCTTCACCCTTGTCTTCAGTCTGGGAAAGGGTCCCACATGAAGACTGTTGTCCCAAGTGAGTGTCGTCTATTAGAAGAAAGAGATCGTTGTGGATCAGATTTGGCCCAGGACTCAGATCATGTTTGGTCCACGGCAAGTTCTCAGTAAATGTCAGTAATAGTGGAACAAAGCAAAGCCAACCTGTGCCCACTAGTAGCACGTAAATTAAATGAACACTGTCCTGAAGACAACTCTGTGATTGACTGGAGGACAGACAGGTCTTACTCTCACCTGTGCCTCTGAGTATATGCTCAGGATACCTCTCAGTAGGAGTATGGTCACATAAAACCATTATGTGTCTCATTGTGGGGAGATAGAAACATTTGGGTGAGTCCAGTGGGTCTCTTTTTCCCTCCACACGAAGTACCTTCTTTCTTTTTTATTTTCTTTAACTGTGAGAAGAGGGTTTCATTTTGTTCTGTTTTGTTTGGGGCACACTCACTGAGGTATCTTTCTGCTCTCATGCCCCGTTATTTTGTGTAGAAGGTCAACATTCAGAAGCATCAATTTATCCTTCAAAAATGATTTTGCCCGTCAACAACAACAACACAAAAACCCAGGAAATTGGAGATAAGCATGTACAGAATGAATAAATTTGTGACATCAGGGAGCTTAATTTTTAAACTTCCATTGGTTTGCTGGACTAGAATGCTGTGTGGGATTATGGAGGAGAAGAGGAATAGACAGAGATTGCTCATCTTCTAATAAAGGCTGTAATTACAGTTCTACAGAAATGGGGTCATTTGGTGATAGTGTCAGACAGAAGAGACAAACTGACTTTTTTTAGGGACATTTTGTTGGGAGGGAATGACCTGCCTTTTCCCCAATGTGTCATTCCAAAGCAGTGTGAGTGTGAGATTAGTCATAAAGAAAGCAAGGGACAGACCTGAAGTCCCCATTAAGCTGGAGAAGGCACATGAAGGGCATATGGCCATCCCTCCACAAAATAGTCAGGTAGTAGTAAGTCTACAAGGAGGTAGGACCACCTGAGCAACAAGAACAGCCATGTCACACATGGCTATGGCCAATGGCACAGTTGTAGACTGAGGGAGTATTGTAATACAAAGGAATGATTTTTACATCAAAGAAATTAAAATATTTAAATTGAGATAATGAAATCAGCTATATAAATGAGGGCTGGGATTTTTCTTAAACTTTTAGCATAGTGATAACTGTTTATACTAAGTTTATGCAGATTTGATGAGTGTCTAAAACCTGGCTTTTTCTCTTCCAAAATTATCTTCTAGAAATTTGGGGCTAAAATTTGGTCTTGGACACACCAGTGTGCCTCTCTTTCCCCTTCCTGATTTCCACGTGTTATGGCAGAAACTTAAAGCTGGAAAAGATCGTGAATGTTCTGTTTCAAATGTTAGACCCAGATTCATATTTCAATGTTAATTTTGTTTTCTAACACAATTTAAAAATAGTGACTATGATACAAATAATTCCTGCGTATCTATAGGTATCTTTTGAGAGAAATAAGATTTGTGTTTGTTGATGAAAAGGACAGTGTAGTTAAATTCACACTGGACTAAGGATAAGGACTAGACCCTGGGTTCTAGAACAGACTGTGTCCCTGACTAATTGAGTTGACTTTTTTATAGAGTCTTCAACTCTCTGGGCCTAAATTTCCCTGTCTATAAAATTATTAAGTTGACTAAATGGGTTCTGAGTTTAGCATTTAGGATTTGTTGATTCCATGACTGGAATAATTTTAACCATTTTTAGCTTGATTTAGACAACAACAAAACTAACAATGTTTGGATGGTATCTTTGTCTTCCCAATATGTTTTGGGGAAAAAAAACACAACAGACTTTTAAAATTTATCAAGATTCTCTTATCCCTCATTGTCACCTCTCATAGTCTGGTTTTTGTTTGTTTTGCTTGGTTTTAATGGCTTATCAGTTTTGAAAATACTGCCTAGTCTGTATTGTTTTTATTTGACCAACATTTTATATCTTCTGTGTTTTAGTCACCTTGGTATATGTACTTGGAACTTTGGCCTCTCACTCAGTTGGGGAGAGGACCTGGACTTCTTATTAGGTCAGTTGATGATATGTTTGAACTATTAGCAATTTCTTGGCTATAACTATAAAGAAAACTTTCTTAAAAGGAAAAAAAAAAAAACCTTCAAGAGTCTAATGATGAGGAGATTATTCCAGAGAAAATAAAGCAAAACCTTAGTGAAAAAGAAAAATACCAGGAAGAACGGTAGGAAATGAATACATCTATTCTTAATTCTGATCAGAAGAGAGTGCTAATCATTTTGCTCAAGTTATAGTTTTCTCTCCCATTTGACCTATTTTTAAACCTCTCTCTCTGTTTAGGATATGGCCTAAAATCTAGCTTCCCTGTGACTCTACTCATGAACCTTGCAGTTTCTGTTGATTCCTCTTTTCCCTGAATTCTTCTGGTCTCCTACCATCTCTTCCAAAAATTTGGCATTTGTATCCAGGCAACAGTTTATCCCCCTTTCACAGTGAAACTAGCAATCAAGCTAAAATGGAGAAACAAATCATCTGGGAAAGTGCCCATTCTAAGGAAGAGTAAGTAAATGTCTTTCCAAAGACATTTCAGAATCCACTGTCCTAGTCAAGGTCCTCTGAAGGTACAACTGAAAGTCACCTGTAACTAAAGACAAACCATTAACTGAGCTATGGTAAATGCTCCTTAACCAATATACCAGTTAGTTTGTATGTCTCTTCAATCCTGCAATATTAGTGACTTCAGTTCTGCCCCCTTGCTTTCTTTATGACTAATCTCACAATCGCATCAACTAGTTGAGTAACCTTTTTTGTAGACTCTTAAACTCTCTAAGCTACAATTTCCCTGTCTATAAAATTAGTGGGCTGACTAGATGTATTCTGAACTCAGACTGGACCTGTGGATCAGCTTTGTTTTCCTCCCAGGCTTATGCTTCAAACCTCTGATTTCCTACTCAATCAGTTATCAACCTGAATGTCAGTATGTATATTATATTTTATCACTGTTCTGTGCTTATTACTATGCGGTGCTCGTGCAGCCCACGTACTGTTGGCAGAGAAGTGATTAATAAGACATTTGTGAGTCTGGAGGATGGGGTGGGGGAGGTAAGGGGGTTACTTTAGATGTTGACAGGATGTGTCAGGGTGCTGTCTATTGGGGAATCTGTTTTTGTTTCTTTCAATTCAGATGCCAAGGGGAAAGTGACTCTATCAACTAAAGAGATTTAAAAATGTTCCTCCAACTGCTCTGGTGTATAGTGTGTTGATTGTGGGAGGATATGCAGTCTCTAAAGGAAAAACAAGTCCTGGGTACTTGAGTTGTAGAGACATTTCCCAAATAATCAAAGGTGTTCTATGAAAGAAGGGTGTCTTTGGTCCAGTAAGTCCAGGAAATGTTGTAAACTATGCCTGTCTCTACTGCAGATTTTCATGGTATATATTAAAGGTCAGAGAATTCTGGCAGTAAGGGAACTTTAACTTTGTCTGAAATCTCAAATATCCCAAAGTATATACTATGGAAAATTTTGGGTTAGAGAGCCAGAACATTTCAGCATCTCAAAAATACTAATAAAGCAGATATTATCTGATAAACATGCAATAATGAAAGACTTGTCTTTGATCAAGTACCTAAGCAAAATCTAAGGATATTTTCAGGTACTGGTCAAATGATTTACTAAAATTCTATAAAAGGTCCAAATAGATTCTAAAGAAGACCACAGCCAGCACTTCACTTTTTCTTCAAAAGGATGGAGGAAGAACTTTCTGAAACAACATAATCATTGCTTCCACAATCTATCTGTATCAGAACCACCCTTGGTACTTTGGCTCCACTCCAGTCCTCCCAATTCTGAATTTCTGTACTCAGGAACAGCATTTTTCATAAATTCTGTATTTGATTCTAATGCACAGTTAAGTGCTAAAGCTACTTGCAGATGGCTGCAAGTACTGTCTTGTTGAAGCTGAAATCATGTTTAAAATGGTGGTTGCATATTTAGATTAGCCTAAAAATGTTTAAGTCCCATAATGTAGCTGAAACATTATAGTGCTTAGAGGAATATGCTGATGGTGTTTGGAGGAATGGCATGGAAGGGTCAGCATGCACATACAGGTAGTTAGGGTGGATACTAGTGGGCACCCGGCTTCACAGTCATTGGTTCTGATCAAACATTCAGTTGAAATCTGGTAACTTGGAGATAGTGGCAGAATTAGAGTTGTGGAATGTTTTCTTTCTCTACAATTATTTTGATTATTTGGTAATTAGATGATTACTATAGATTTTGAAATAACTCATGGAAGACAGAGAAGAAACCATAATTGGTCATCTTTAATTTTACCCCTAATTTTTTCATATCCCAATACAACACATACACATTCCTCTGTATAAATAGTTGTAGAGTGATAAAGCAAAAGAACTTTCTGGGTTAGGAACACTTGAAATCATAAACCTCCATGCTGTGATTATGTACTGTCTTATGGGAAGTTTAACAATGACTAATACAAAGGGACATTTCTGAGATGTCTTGGATAGATAAGGAAAACAGCTTTTGAACACAGAGCAACTTTATTCTCTTTCCCAAAGATCCAAAACACTTGAGTGATTCCAGTCTTGCACTTTGCAACTTGGTAGATATATTTAAAGTATTATTTGGGTTATTTTATTCTTTATGTTGGGTGGATCATGTGTCCTATTTAAATGTGTCTTCTAGCCCTTCTTGAAAGCATTGCCCACAATGGGTTTTAAGTACCATAGTGATATCCCATGCCATCAGAGACGTATTTTGGGATTTATAGATAGCTTGTTATTGGAATCTGAACACAGTTCTGACTCCAGTGCCCATGATCTTTCACTTTGCCACACTATCTTACAGAAATGAATAAGACATTATAGCTGTCCCTGATAGATTCTCCACCTCCCTTGGGAGGCAGGTGTATAAACAAATGATTGATGCAGAAAATTTGTTGGAGAGGTAAGGAAGGTGATGCTAACTCTAGCTGGGCATGTCTGGGAATGTACCATATAGGAAGTAGTATTTGTACTGAGTGTCACAGTGAAATTCACCAAGGAAGACAGGCAGAGGGGCTCTCCTATGTACAGTAACATGCTTTCACTAGTAGCTAAAAAATTAACTCTCTCATCCTTCTTTAACAGCCATTTTTGGTGTAGAATCCCTCATGGTCTCCTAACAATTTTCCCATGCCTGTTCTTAGCACTTATCCTATATAACAGTTAGATTACATATCTGTTTTTCTCTCCATATTTAGAGCTACTTAACCAAAGGGCCTTGCTGACTTATTTATCTTTATGTACCTAGCACAGTACCTCATAAAGTTGAGGCATTAATAAATATTTGCTGAATCAATAAACTAATGAGAGTAAAATTATTTTGTGCAATTTTTGACATTCTATAATTGATACATTTTTTTTTAATTTTTTTTTTTTATTTGTGAGAGAGAGAATGAGAGACAGAGAGCATGAGAGGGAGGAGGGTCAGAGGGAGAAGCAGACTCCCCGCTGAGCAGGGAGCCCGATGCGGGACTCGATCCCGGGACTCCAGGATCATGACCTGAGCCCAAGGCAGTCGCTTAACCAACTGAGCCACCCAGGCGCCCTAACTGATAGGTTTTTAAAGTTTTGTGAAATAAAAAATATTTTATGTAGTAATAGAACATACTACTCAGTGATCTAATTGACAATCATTTTATATACAAACCATCTCTAGGGGCACCTGCGTGGCTCAGTCGTTAAGTGTCTGCCTTTGGCTCAGGTCCTGATCCCTCTTCTTCTCCCTCTCCCACTCTCCCACTCTCCTTGCTTATGTTTCCTCTCTCTGTCTCTTTGTCAAATAAATAAAATCTTAAAAAAAAACCCGTTTCTATATTTATATTTTGCTTAAATCCAGATTCCACTAGCTTTGCTTTAAGTAATTTTCCTTTCATTCCCTTGTTCATTCGTCCTTATAACAAATATTTATTGAGCACCTAGCAGGTGTCATCCACTATCTTAGACACTAGGCATCCAGTGATGTCTGAATACACACACAGTCCCTGTTCTTGATCTGAAAGAGCTAAAAGAAGACATGCATTAACCAAATAATCACAAAAAGTAAATGTACAGTCTCAAAAGCTGCTAAATGCAAAGAAGGAAAGATACACGGTACAACAGAAACAGAAAACAAGAAGACTTTATCTAGGGTTGGGCTAAGAAAATGCCATTTGAATTGTAAGCTAAATGTTAAGTGCCCAAAGGGCTGAACTTTAAGGATTTCTAGGTAGAGAAAATAGGATGTATGTGGGCTTTGTGGGGGATGGAGTATGCTGTGTTCAAAAAACGGGTAGAGAAGATCAGAATGATGAGCAATTAGGCAGTAGTAGTAGTGGTGGTGATAGGGATAGGGAGTTCAGGAAGGAGATATTGTGGGGTAGAGTGATAGGAGATAAAGCTAGAGAGACTGGTGTGGGTTAGACCATTAGGGCCTGAAAGACCATGGTAAGAATTTTAGTCTTTGTCCTAAGAGCAGTGGGAAACCATTGGGGAGACAGGGTAAGTGAGTAACATGTTGAAAAGTTCACTTTCTCTCTTTTGAAGGGAAGTGGCTAAACACAAGTATAACAAGGAAAGTGTAGGGAGACCCTGAAGGAAGCTATTACAGTAATCCAAAAATGAGATGTGGCTTTTAGTAAAGGTTGGAGGAAGTGCCCCTTTTTAGGAATCATCAAAGAAAAGTCATGCATTAGAACATAACTACTTGCCTAATCCTTTTAGGATTTTCTTTTCCAACTTTTGCTCTTTATTGCTGACAGGCTCTTTGGCTGTGGTTGGCTCTCCAGAAGCCATGGGTTCTCTCTCTGTCTCTTCAGTGACCTCATCACAGTCCCCATCCCCATTGTCGGGTGGTTCTATGTTCTCAGGCTGCTCCTTTGTCTTGGTGGGACCCTCTTTTTCAGTAGCAGACCCATAGGTATTAATTATGTCTTCTAATTGTCGATTCAACTCCTCAGAGATATCATGAGCTCCCTGTTCAGACTGCACCCCTGTCTTCCCCTCTGGTGCTTGAAGTGGGGTTGAGGAATCCTTGTCATCTTGCTTCTCCAAGCCATTTTGATTGGGTAATGATGAACTTTCCCCTGGAGGTGTTGACTGGGGTTCTCCTGAGAGCTGTACAGAGTGATTTGTCTCCATACTGGGAGTAGTATCTAGTGGTAAGCATAGTCAAATTTTATATAGTTAACCCAGTTATATGTAAAATGTAAGGATATCCCCAAAAGGGCACCTACTAATTACAGTTTCTAACATAGAATGAATGTATTTTCACAAACCATTGATATTTCAATTAATTAGGTAGAAACAGAGGAAAGCCATTTTTCCAAAGCAAGTCATAATATTAGCGTATTTTTGGTTTTGGTCTTTAAATTCCAGTAGAAATTCCTATGATTGACATTAATGGAGTAATTCAAGATATTGTTTTTCATGTTATATTTGTCATATTGCTTAAGCCAACTTGTGTTACCATTCTCTTACATTATTCTATGTAGATTTATGGTCATTGGAAGTACATAGATGTCTATATTTAAAATGTTTAAAGTGCTGTTACTTTTTTTCTAAGTGAAAACATTTAATACGAGAGCAACTGAACTTACTAAAATCACTCATAACAACAGCAGTCCTAAACTCTATTCTAATTCATAAGTGAAGATTTGATAAATATGAGTACATTGATACAAATGAATTATTATACTAAATACAGGAAATACTTTCTTGCTTTTCAGGTATTTTCCTTTTCTCAGATGAGCAACACATAATTTATCCATCAGCAAGATACATTTTCTGAGTTTCAAACTAGCTTCATTTTTGGAATAAAACGGAGAATGGAGGAAGGTACAAATTAACCAACAAACTAGTTTGGAACCATGGTGATGGCCATAAAAATAATTTCTTGAATTTCAATAATACTTTTTTGTTCCAATATAAAAACTGACTTTCTTTTAGGAAAAAAAAACAGATTACAACCCTTTTTTTCTCAGTCAAGAAGCTCTAGGATAACTTTGTAATTTTTAAGAAATAGTAATGTTTAATGAATAGGAAGGGAATGAACTTGGGAAACAATCCACATATAATATGGCCTCTTTGGAAATAGGGGCTGCAAGCTCAGTCAAAGAATACCAGGATTTCTGGCTATCTCCATTTCTTGGGTTGCAATAGAGTTGACTTAGGCTTTTAAGCAATGGTGCATTTTATTTGCCAATGGTATCTAATGGCAATGCTGCTAATTAACAGCATAAAAATATGACGGGGTTCTCATAATGCACAAATTTTGCTGTTGTGGTGGCCCAAGAGGAAAAACAAAAACATACTGTTCCATGCACTGCACAGCTTCTTTCTCTTGTTCTCATGGCAGGGGATGTCAAGTGCTTGGACCACAGTAAGAACGGAAAATTCAGCCTACAGCCAGTGCCGCCCACTGATGGCCCTCATCAAGTACTCATTCAGTTCGAAGGAAGTACTGTTTTTCTCTTACCCACTTTAACGCACCGACTTTATTATCAAATGATGCAGTAAACAGCCTTATTGTTTTCATCACTGGCATTTCTTTATCCTGACCCCTACTTGTTGGGCACACTCATCTATATATAACTTACGCCTCCCCTAAACTCTGAGAAAGATACATGGCACCTGCTGTCCAGCCAGAAGTTATTTTAAGCGCTTCTAAAAGGAGCCATGACATTTAGCACTTCTTCAAAAATCAAGGGAAGAGAATCCTTTTAAAATCAGAACTAAAAGCAGTAAACATGTACTGGCTTAAATACATATGTGGGTTTTAAAGTGTTAGGGATCCTTCTGAGGAAGGAATAAAATCTAAAGTTAAACCCCAAATTCAAAGCAATGAATTTAAAACTGACTTTTCACAGGAGTTTTAGTATGGTTAGTCTAAACACAAAAGTTGGGTTGTATTTGATTTATTCTTCATTCCTCAGAGGCCACAGCCATTGATGTTTTTAATATTAATTCCATGGATATCCTTTAAACTCAAAGCCCACATTTACTTTAAAACAGAATAACTGAGTCATTGTAAACCACAACACAACTCAATTCCTAAAAGTAGCCTCAAGATAAATCAACAAGAGGGGAAAAAAAGTCAAAGAACTCCACTACTTTTAAGTTGTTCCTTTCTGTATGAATTGACGGCAAGAAATTATTTCTAAATTTTATCTTCTTAATACACTTTATTGCCTTTTTTTTTTTTTTGCTCCTCTGAGAATTTTTCACTTGTATGGGGAACCCAGCAGATTATCACACACATCCCTTCCTGAGTAACACATTTCAATTATAAATAAAACAATGGAAAGTTCTTCCACAGTTCAGCAGCAATCTCAAAGTTGCAAGTTTCAAACACCACAAACCGCATCCTACACCTTCTCACAGGGTTTGGGGGAGTGTTTGTCGCACTTACCAGAAGACAAGGAGCTAAGCAGAAAGAGAAGGAGAAGCAAGAGGCTGCAAAAAGCTAGTCAGAGGAGCGGCGACAACAGGAGACAGGCAGCTGTGTTCTTTCAAGGGAGAGAGAAACCACACACACACACACACACACACAGGCGGCAGGAGAGCAGGGAGGGGGTGGGGAGGAAAAGGAACAGTGTATAACACAGCAAGAGAGAAATACACCCAAGTTTCAGTAGCTGTCTCCAGGGCAAGTGTCTGGGGAAAGAGAAACAGCTGATAGATATCAGACTCTCCGTGTTTTATCCTTTAAAAAATTTAAACTCTCTCTATAAGCCCCTCTGTTAACACAATTTTTCACCGTTATTCTTTTGGGCAGAGATCATATTTTCTTATTCCTTAGTTTGTTTCCAGTGTGGTCCATGATTCATCTTTTTCTCCCTTCTTATGCTAGTCTAATTAGCGTCAGATTTCTCATAGGAATCATGGGGGGAAAATCCAACGGCATAACAAAAAGGAGGTGGGAGAACTACTTGAATTCTGATGTCATTGGTTTGTTTGTAAAATTTGAAATACAAATGGAGGTGGCTGTCTTGGTGCTGAGTTTGGTGGCATCTTCACGGACATGGTAATTGGCATAATTGGCCTCAGATCCCACATCTTAAGCATGTCACCAACTTCACATCTCAGATAAGCCCTTGGGGAGGCAGTCACTTTTTCTTCCTGAATTGGAGCCTTTTCCACCAACTGCTTTTCCAAGTTTTTCCACCCTTCTTACGTCTTCAACTTGCTCCTTAATCCTCCTCAGAAAAAGAATCTTCTCTTCATTCACCACAAAATGCCCCTTTCTCTTACCTTACATCCATGCCCTTTTCCTTCTTTTTCTAGAAAACATGTTCCCACACTTTTCCAAGGCAGGTTTCTCCATCAGAGTTCCTGCTCTTGGGACTGGCTGGGCATAATGATACCCATTGTGCTATGCAGAATAGTGCCACCAGAAAGATGTCCACATCCTAATCCCAGGAACTGATAATACGTTACTTTACAAGATGAAAGAGATGTTGAGATTTTGCATATTTAATTAAATTAAGGATCTTGAGATGGGGGGATTATCCAGAACTATCTGGGTGGGCCCTGTGTAATCACAAGGGTCCTTAAAAATAAAAGAGGGAAGCAGGAGGGTCAGAGTCAGAAAAGGACTCCAAAAGAGGTCAGAGTGATGTGGGGCCACAAACCAAGGGATTTGGGAAATGAATGCAATTCTGCTGACAACTGATTTTAGCTCAGTGAAACTCTTTGTGGAGTTCTTACCTCCAAAACTGTAAAATAATAAATTTGTGTTGTTTTAAAGCTATTAGATTCATGGTAAATTGCTACGGTAGTAAAGGAAAACTAAAATATTCTGCCCCCAAACATTTTCTCATGCCTTTCTCTGAGTTCAGGGGAGGCATAAGTTATATATAGATAAGTGTTCTCAACAATAGGCTGTTGCTGCATCATTTGATGATAAAGTTGGTAAATTAAAATGGGTGAGAGAAAAAGTACTTCTTTCTAAATTAATATGTCCTTGGTGAGGGCCACAAATGGGTGGCATACTGGACTGCATTAAACTGGTGTAGTTAGATCTCTCAGTGAATACAAAAAGTAAGTCAATTCTTCTCAAATTTAATTTAATGTTGAAATTAATTTAAAGGAAAAAAAAAGAACTTACCATGATTGAAATAAGTTATTATATTATCATTTTTACCAATATGTACTAATGTAAAAATAGATATAAACTTCTGCTGCTTATAGTTATTATATGATACAAATTTTAAGTATATATTATTTTAAAAACCCTACAAAATGAATAAGTAAAATTCAAATGAACATTACTTTTATGTGACAGATAATATTTTGCTGAACCCAAACTGCTACTTGCAACATGAATATGGTAGTGCCTGCTGGTCCTATTGAGTTTATGACACTCTTCTAGAGTGTACCTTATGAAATGATTCGATTTCTTCAACACTTGGTCTGTCCAAATGATTACATAAGTTTCATTCACATTACTGGCCATAATTTCAACTGGACTTCCTTTGATACTGATGTATAATTTATAGCTCTTTCTTACTTTCTTGCAATTATTAAAATAATACTACTTGCATACCCTCACCCTGGCCATAACCCTAACCCTAATCCTAACCCTAGATCTGAGAAAAAAGTAGAAAAGAATGGACTATTACTCAGCCATAAAAAAGAAATGAAATCTTACTCTTTGCAATGACATGAATGGAGCTAGAGATTATTATGCTAAGTGAAATAAGTCAGTCAGAGAAAGACAAAAACCATATGATTTCACTCATATGTGGAATTTATAAAACAAAACACACGAACAAAGGGGGAGAAAAAAAAGAAAGAAAAAGAGAGGCAAACAAAGAAACAGACTCTTAATTGTAGAAACCAAACTGATGGTTACCAGAGGGGAGGTGGGTGAGGGGATGGGTTAACTAAGTGATGGGGATTAAGGAGTGTGCTTGTGATGAGCAAGGGTGTTGTATGGAAGTGATGAATGACAATATTATACACCTGAAACTAATGTTACACTATAAGTTAACTAACTGGAATTGAAATAAAAACTTAAAAAAAAAGTAGTGGTACTTTGAGCTAAGTTGATAGATATACACATGATAGTGATGGCACCAAATGACAGTTATCCAGGTGATCTAGGGTAGGCTTATACATTTTCAATTATTATTAAAATGAATACAAACACACAAACTTGTAGCTCTCTAGAATCCATCTCTAGCCTGGTAGAGGCCCAAAGAACTGGGGATGTAAAGAGAACAAATTAATAATAATAGTATTTTGTTTATTTATTTATTTAAGATTTATTTATTTATTTTTGTGAGAGAAAGGGGGGGCGAGCAGGGGCAGGGGCAGAGGGAGATGGGAGAGAGAGAGAGAGAATCTCAAGCAGGCTCCCTGCTGAGCACAGAGCCTGACACAGGGCTTGATCTCATGATCCTGAGATCATAACCTGAGCCAAAAATCAAGAGTCTGACACTTAACTGACTGAGCCACCAGGTACCCCAGAACTCAGTGATTTTATAAAATAAAGCTTTGAGCGGGCACCTGCGTGGCTCAGTCGTTAAGCGTCTGCCTTTGGCTCAGGTCATGATCCCAGGGTCTTGGGATGGAGTCCCACATCAGGCTCCCTGCTCAGCGGGAAGCCTGCTTCTCCCTCTCCCACTCCCCCTGCTTGTGTTCCTGCTCTCACGATCTCTCTCTCTCTGTCAAATAAATAAATGAAATCTTAAAAAAAAAATAAAGCTTTGAGCTATTATAAGGAAGTTTTTGGGAAAATAACATTTTGATTTTTATGCAAATGTTATAAGAAAATAGGAAGCCTAATTTCTAATATCAGTACTAAAAAGTTTATCACAAGAAACAATAATCCCTTGTACCCCTCTCCACCCTGTTCCTCTAACCTTGTCATGTTCCCAAGGGGCGGTAATATTAAACCAATCCAGATATTTCTTCTGTGATTTATTGTTTCATTTATAAATAATGCCTAGCTTGCTGCCTGTCAACTCATCAGTTTTTGACATTACCTATTGTCTTCCCATAATAATAAAGATTTTAGTTATATCCCCCTTTCCCTCATTTTCTTCATAAAATATAACTCATTTTTAATTAATATTCTATATTTTCATTATTGAAAAAATGTTCACTGCTAAATTGGGTAAAGCACTGGGATTGTATATAATTCTATTCTTTTGTAACTTTTTGTTTTTCCTGGAGTTAATGACTACCTTCACTTTTCATTTGTTTAGTATCGAGAGTACTCTGTTTTCCCAAACTGCACAAAAGTTCTGTAAAATGCCTTGTTATGCAATTTTCCTCAAGGTAAAATCTCTCATATAATTTATACATTCTAGTATCTTCTTGGAGATAACACCCCCATATACAAACATCCCTAGAGACTTGACTTCCTGCTACAGTCTGGTTTGGTGACTTTCTTGGCCTGCTGCACAGCTGTGGTCCTAGCACTTCCCCTGATGTCATCCTGGGAAATCCCTTTATCTCTCTTTTGTTTTCTGATTCCCATTCTTCCTCTTTCTTGGTGTACTTCCTCATTTAGTGAAACATATTGTATGCTGGCTTTCTGAGAAGGCATTTATGGGGGACTTTGTATGTGTCAAATGCCTTTTTTGCTACCCTAATACTTACTTGATTGCTTGGCTAGATGTAAACTTTTTTACAAAATGTAGAAAAACTTTTTTTGATAAAACTGTTTTTACATATCTATGGAATTTTTATTTTTTTTTAATTTTTTTAAATTTTTTTTTAAGATTTATTTATTTATTTGAGAGAGCGAGAATGAGAGAGAGAGAGAGAGAGTACATGAGACGGGGGAGGGTTAGAGGGAGAAGCAGCCTCCTCGCCGAGCAGGGAGCCCGATGCGGGACTCGATCCCGGGACTCCAGGATCATGACCTGAGCCGAAGGCAGTCGCTTAACCAACTGAGTCACCCAGGCGCCCCTCTATGGAATTTTTAAAGGCATTATTCCCTTGTCTTTTAGGTTTCATTTTTTTTTCTTTAAAGTGGAAAGTCATTTTTATTTTTGATTCCTTGTATGATCCTCTTTTCTTTTTTTTCCCTTTGTGGAACCTTTAGAATCTTCTCTTTATCCCTTATATTCTGAAGTTTCACAATGATAAAATTTGATGTCCATCTTTTTTCATTTATTGTGTTGGATGCTTAATGGGTTTTTAAATCTAGAGACGTAAGGCTTTAACTTCCTTCCCTCTTATCATTGTTACTCACCTTCTTCTTCCTCGGAGCCTCATATCCCTGAATGCAGAGTCTTTCTGGTGGAGCTTCCCCAGAGAACAATCCTTAGGTATCCTGAAAGGGTGGAGAGAAGTTACTTTACTTTGTAAGGTGGGATTGGGGACCATTGGGTTTGACTGTTCATTCCCTTAATTAAAAACCCAAAACTAAAATAAACCCAGCCCTACTACTACTTTTGATAGTACCTCTATTTGCTGAGTATTAACCTCAAATTCTTTAGTCTTTTCAAAGTCTGCCAGGAAAATTATGTTGCTTCTAACTTTCCTGCTGCCTTTCCCTCAGCTCACTAACCCATTTCTGTCAAGC